ACAAATTCACTTATAAAAGTAATCTAGAAAGCGCGTACGCAACCGGAAGCACGAAAAGGCGCGGGAAATACAGGAAAAATCCAAGTTAAAAAGGGGGGGGGTACGCAGCGGCGACGAACACAGAAACCTAAAAACGGAAAACGGAGCGAGGAAAAAAAAAGGAAACAAAAAGCGCACAAAACTCGTCCTCGTCGTCGTTGTCGTTCGTCGTGTAAAGAATTGCGTTTGTCGCGACACGGCGACAACTTTTGCCACCGCGACGTGGTATGAAAAGGACGAAGGACGAAGGACTAAGCTTTAAGCGGCCTCCACTTTATCACAGATTTAAAACGAAATGAATGTAAGCACATTAAATGGCTTGGACTCGGTCCGGGTTGGAGCTTCTATTAAAGGTTCTTCATAGCCAAGGACTAGAAAAGATTTTGCCCTCAGGGGAAGACAAAAAATTAAGGGAGGAGGAAGTAAGAGAGGGTGTTGCCTTGTTAGGGGTGGCAAATGAAAAAGTTTCCAAATGCAAAGTTAGTTTATGGAGAAAACAAAAAAAAGGATTTAATTGGAGAGCGATTTGTTGGGCAGTTAAGAACATGACAAGTTGCTCTTATCATTTTGCTTAATTTACAAACCATTTTGGGCGAGAAAAAGGAAAAGCTAGAAGCCAGCCAAGACCTTGGGGATTCCAGAGAGATGTAAAACAGAAATTAAATTAACCATGAAAATAGCTTTAAATGAGTCTGTTAAAGTTTGAAAGTGTTTAATTAAATTTGTAAAATAAGCAAAGCATAAATAGTTTTGCTAAAAGTACTTACATTTACTGAATAAATATTCTTAAAATATAAATTAAATAAATAAATTTAAGATCTACTTCTCCCCTTCTTACAAACAAATAAAATTAATTATCTCACTAAATTCCACAAATTGAATAGGCTTATCTTAAGGAAAAATAACTCTAAATCACTCGACAAGTTTTGGCTTATATCTGTCGAAAAGTTTTCGATTTTTAGAAAAGTTTTAGGCCGCTTATCTGGGCTATTAGGCTGAAATGCCATTTGTTGTGGCTTCCTTTTGTGTGGATTACAAGTCTCCTCCTCTTTATACTTTTTCTGTTAATTTCTTTGATATCCTGGCACAAAGGCTGGTACTTGTACTCCCAACAAATGAATATTAAATAACCTGATAAAGTTCTGTTCCAAATTATTGCCCGCAGCACGACCGCGGAAAATTCTCTCCCTGCTACATCTGCAATTAGAAAAACAACTTTTTTATGCTGTTCAACATTCGTTACAAGCGTTGAAAGTCTGAAAGTCGGTCGCAACAAATCCAATTTTCGGCAGCGGCAAAGAAGAGCAAAAAAAGTTAAATTATCAAAAGAAAAAAATAAATTGTAGCTTGGGCATAAAGTTGGTTGTCTGCGGGTAAGGCAAGGACAATGTCAGGATGTAGGATAGACCAAAAGCCCCCCGCCTGCAGCTATGTGTCACAATTTTCCGGGACGAATACTCCATCGTTATTAGCAGCCAAAAACAGGGAAAGTTTCGCTCACGAAGCTATGCTTTTAATAAACTTTTACTTGGCATTTGCCATTTGGCATTTATGCAAATTGCAAATACAATAAAAACACACGGGAATATTGAGTGGAAGGGCGGCCAATAACAACAAATTTCAATTATGCCATCAAATCTATTTAGGTGTATAAATATTTGGGCATTTTCCGGTTTCCCAACGCGCTACGCTTGGTCTCGCCGGAATTGCGGCGTGTAATTTACAGATTTTCTTGTTAAGATTGTGGCCAAAGTTTTCCCCATCCCCAGCTTTTTCCTTTTCGCCATTGTTCGTAGTTTTTTAGGGCCCTCGAGAAGGCCATAATTGGCCCTATATATATACATTCTCTGGCACATAAATTTCCCACTGAATATTTTACAACTCATTGCTGGTGTTTGCATTTGTGACTGCCTTAAATTCTGGCTTGATTTGATTTCATTTCAATTACGAGTCGAGTCGAAAATAAGCTCTGTAGAGACCCCCAGAGACTGTTTTCAAGATCATTAACAAAGAAGAGGGAAGCAGGACTTGGCCAAATTAATCAATTATGCGAGTGTGTGTGTGTGGCCTGAGTGGGTCCTTGTGCCGCCTGGCAATTTGCTTAATTAGTAAAAATGCTAACAATAAATGAGGGCTTGACAAAGGCCAGGGGTTTTTATATACCAAATAATTTTTAGGGGAATTGTTTTTCAGATGGGAAAGTAAACAAAAATGATATATTTACTTAATATTTTTATAATAAAATGTTTAAGAAACCTAGTAAACAAAAACCATCTTGATTAACTAAATATTTTGGTAAATATCTCTAAATATCTCGAGTTACCCATAAGTACCATATCTGTGTCGAAACACTCCAAATCGCTTTTTGGCCACTCAAAGAAATCAATCATAGCCACACTTGGCCATTCATTTTCACATTCCAAAGACTGCCCTCCCATTTGCCAGGATATGTTCTATGGTCGTCCTGAAGTGCCTGGGTCATTTACTTTATTGATTACAACTTTCTCTTGTTTCCCATAGCAAATACAAGCAGAAAAAAAAGAAAAGCGTAGAGAAAACAACAGCAATTTGAGTTGAGCCAAGGATATATTCACCATAACTGGCAGGATATTCCCAACAGATGAGGCCAAAGAAGAGGAAGTTGCCACAAATGTAGCCTTGATTAAAGCCGCTTTATTCCGGCTGAAAGACCTGGTCTGCCTTTTGTTATGTTTTGTTTTTTTGTGTATTTTTTTTTATTATTTTCCTTAATGTCGGCGAATGCATAAATAAATTTTCAATTCACTTGCATGTCTGGGCAATCACTACAAATAAATAAAGCGTAAACCGAGATCAGAGAGCACACCGAGAGCAGCATAAAACTGTCATAATTTATGAAGTTTATCATTTGCTTGCTGGCTTGTGTTTTTATATATTTATTTATTTGTCAGAGGGGGCGCACCCAAAACGCATTTGTGTCAATTTAAATTTATGTAAACATAAAATGGCCAACCAAAAAAAAAGAAGAAATAAAAAAATAAGGAAAAGGAAGTCATCCTGTGTGAGAGATGTGGTCCTTTTACTTGGATATCACATTTTTCATTCGCTTTATGGTACTCTTTCTTTGTTTGTTTGAGTAATGAAGGTTTTTATGTTATGTTTTTATCAAAATTATTAAAGAATAATAACTAGTAATTAGAAAAAGGAAAAAGGAAAAGCTGGGACATTCAATCTCAAAGTAAACATTATCTAGGAGCTAGTAACTTATACCTGAAAAAAATATTGAAAATATATTTATTGAAAATCCCAAAATAAAGAAGAAATAATAATAAATTCTTTAAAAGAAAACCTAATTAAAACATTAAAACCCCAATTACCTAAAATATTTACCAAGCAAACCCTTAAGAAGGGCATCCAAAAATCCTTAATCAAAAAGCCAAAAACATCCCGCCTTCATGGTTATCCTCCAGAGCGACTGCCACGGCTCCTTCCTTTTTTTTTTCCTCTTTATGATTTAATGCGCGCGGCACGCCGTGACGTTCACTTAGGCATGGACAACACAATAAAACTCCACAACAGCCAGAGGAATATCAATATATGGGCAGGGACACGCAACGGGAAGACGAAGGAGGGGGCAGCAGGCCAGCAGGATACGCTTTTCCGGGCCGCCTGCGCACTTTTGACATTTCATTATCCTGTTAAGTATTCAAAAGTCAAGCAAGCCCAGGCACCGGACGAGGACATGAAGAGGGACACAAACGCAGGACAAGAGCAGAAACAGAAACAGAAACGGGAATGGGAATGCGAATGGGAATGGGAACAAGAGCAAGGGGAAGGACATGTCTGGGCCATGGCCAGGACATTGGCTCCCCTCATCCCGACCAGGTCCTGCTGCGTTACCAGCTTATCATTTATGCCAAACGCGTACTTTTTGGCTTTTAGTCGCAGCTTCTTGGCTCCTTCTGCCATTTGTTTTGTCTGCCGGTAATGCCATGCGGAATTGCCTTTGTGTCCTTGCCGTTTATGACATTGTATTCGAATCTCATATCTGTGTGTGTGTGTGTGTGTGTGTGAATGTGGGTGGTGTATAAATTACATTACATAACAAGCAATATAACAAACGATAACAAACACCTTGCCGCAGCCACAAACACATATCCAGGGAGCAACAAGGAAATGACAATGATCAAATATGAAAGAAAAGGTGCCAAAGGAACAGCAGGAGTAGTACGAAAAAAGAAAAGGAAAACAATTTCATAAAAATGTTTCAACGATTTTGATTTGTTGGAATCAGCTTTATGGTCTGTCATTTGTTTATGCCAAATGTTAATGATGGTTTCGATATCTTGCTTGCCGGGAAAGATATGGGTTTCTTTCTCTGGGAAATCAATTAGGAAAATGTTTGAAAGCTAAAAATATTATAAATCAGTTTTTCTTTTATAAGAGATTATGTTTTAAAGAAAAATGTAAGCCATTTTGGCCAAGTTAGCTTAAATAATTGATTTAGCCACAAAAAGCCAATGAAAAGTCTCTCAAGAAACGTCGTTTAAGTAGACTTCTTTATTTAGTTTTTTTTTTTAAATCCATCTTCAACTAAAATAAATTATTTAAAAAAATATTAAATCCCTCCATTTCCACCTCCTCTTTGGTTTTAATTTGAAATTTTTGCTCTTAAGCACGTCTAGGAAAAAATCCCTAATTGTCCTTAGACTCGAAGTCAAATCAGTCAATCGATTGAGCCTTAAAAAGTCAATTAAAATCGTCATCAAAGAAATCTCCAGCTAAATAGTGCTCTTGAGCAATTTATTTACGCACAGTCCACTGGCCCTAAGTCCCTGAATCCCTGAATCCCAGAGATCCCGGAGATGTCTCTCTGGGCAGTATCTCAATAAAGCAATCAGTGCCACCTACCAAGCCACTGAAAAGTGTGCGTATATGTGTACTTGCAATATAAATTCCATTTCATTTCATTTTCCTTGCAGGCAGGTGGGCAGGATCCAGGAGAAGGAGCAGGAGCAGGAGCAGCCAATGCAACCTGCACAGCAGACATCATTAGACGTGAATAGCAACCACACGTGAGTAACTTAGGGGCCTTTGGCGCCCACGGACAAACATACAGACTATATCGACACTATATATCTCGGACATGTGTCGGCCATCAACTTATGCAATCAACGATTTGGCTTTGACCGGGGCAAAACTTTACTGAGACTGAGACTGAGACAGCGACGGAGTCTGAGTTGGTAGCCGTCGGGTGCTATGTAAACTAGGACCAAAGACGATGGCGATGGCCCAAGGAGTAGGAGGAGCGGCCCGAACAAATGTTTATTTAAGCATAAAGCCACGTACGCCTCCGGAACATATACACGGCATGTGAAAGCACTGAGAAAAATTAGGGGATTTAAAAAGAAAAGTTGTAGAATTTTATACAAAGTTTTAGTTAGAATTTGAATGAGTAATTAATTGTTAATTGTTCTAGCAGCCCTTTTAAATATAAAATATATACAATTAACTCCCTTTTCTCCCAGTGTACACATACTGTTCTTTAGTGTGTGCGCTTTGGAGCTATGTACTTAGGCACAGCTGTACTTGCAGTCCGTGCTTGGTAATTACATACAGACTACGGGGCCAGGAGTCCTGCCAATCCGCACTTTGTCCTCTTCCTTAGCTCCTTTCCGCCCCAAACCCTCTCCCCCTCCCCCTCCCCCAGATGCTCCTTGGGGCTGCTGGATAAATATTTGGTTTAACCTTTTTCCTTTTGTGCGGCTTTGGCTTCGTCGTCCGCTTTGTATTTGCCTTTGGTTTTATGGCAGCGCCTGTGTCACTATTTCATTTCGATTTGAGCCGAGTTTGCCGCAGTCCTTAGCCAGATTTGTATCCTTAATTTATTTGTTTGCGATTTCCCAGATATTTTGTAATTGAGTTTTTCCTCCTCGGTTTTTTTTTTTTTTTAACGCTGATGAGGGTACAGAAAAAATGACAAATGTTGAGAGTTGGCAAAGAATAAAGAGGAAAGGCAAACTGTTGATATTCATTGGACAGGACACGTTCACAGTCCAGGATATATTTATACCGTGTTCGTGTGAGTTCAAGTTTCAAGGGAAATGTGTCTCCTGGGTAGGCAGCAGCCGGGGAGAGGAATGTAGAAAATACTCAGCGACTTAATTTATCGTTATGAATGAATCACTTTGCCTTAAAGTCGGCGACTCTTCTTTGGAAGGACACGTACCTCTGGCGACAGGATATACTTTTGACTTAATTTGATTTCACCCGAATGAATTTCAATTAGCTTCAAATGAAATTTACGCTACGTTAAGTGATTCGTAGCAAGATAAAAGGCTTTTTCCCAGCTAGTTTGGGTGACATCTTAAATTGAAGGGAAGTTTCACTTTCTTCTTTGGCCTTAGATTGATTATGATTTCTATCTGAGGAGGCAGGATCTAGCACAGGGATTTACTCAGTTCAGCCCCTCCATTGTTAAGCACCGACACTTAACCGTGTCGTGCTGGGATTTATAGAGCTCCCTGACCTCACTCTACACATCCTTCAAAAGGAGATACCTTATATCCTTGTTACTTGCACAGCTTGGCTGTTAGTTTTCCTCCTGTTTTGTGGCCCCCAAAAGTTGATTGATTTCTGTTCTAGGGCCAGTCTAAGCCCACCCCTTGCTAGTCGTGACAGTATATTGACGCGCAGTCATAAATAAAAACACTCAGATATTCATGCCAATGATTCCTTGTGTTTTTTTTTTGTCTGTTGTTCTCTGTTGTCTGTTGTTGTTCATTGAGGAAAGCCTGCGGCAAAATAACCTCATACCACACACACAAATTGTATCACTTAGTATGGGTATGTAGCCTATAGTTCCCTTTTTTTTGTTACACAATAAGAAAAGAAATGCAAAATTATTCTTATATTGTTTTTTAATATCAATTTAAATTTTAAATATCATTTACAACAGATAAAAGATTTAAAATCATTTAAATATGTGGCCCAAAAGTATGCCACAAAAAATTACATTTACTTTTAGAACTCATAGCACACTTTTAGTGTTATTTTAAAGAGATTTTCGATTTTTCCAGAATTATGTAATTCCAATTTTCATTATTTTTTCGCAGTTCATCACTGTTCCCATTGTTGCATGTTGACGTTGCCTGGTTTTGATCCATTTGCAGTTGGTGGAATAAATAGGAGTGAGTTTCGGGTCACGACTCCCTGGGAATCCTGAGCGTTTTGTTGATGATTTGCAGGTTCTTGAATAATTGATGGAATGACAGTCTTTCGATGTGTCAGCATTGTTGTCACGCGTTGTTATCATCCCGATGAGAGGCCTCAACAGCTCGCCAATGATGATGGCGTTCATCATCATTATTATATTGTCATCGTTGGCATCCTCCTCCAGAGTGTGTGTGTGTCATGTTGTATTTTGTGTGTGTTTTGAATAATAAGATGCTAACGTTGCAATACATCCGCTTACACACGCACACACCACTCCCCACCACACCCACTATGCGGCTTATGAATGATGAGCAGTCAAACAATCAGCTTTGGCCCCGCCAGAGAATCAGGATTTATACTGATTTACACACATAAAAATAGGAAGGATAACCAAAAAGCTGTGAGGCTAATGTCCTGCCCATTATGCTCAACTTCAAAAATTAAACAAGATTAATTTGTTGGCTCATTTAAAATGGCTTAACAATATCATTAATTTCCAGAGACCGGAAACCAGAAACCAGAGTAAACATATTCAGGCGGACAAACATGGCTTAAAAAACGGTTTAAAGCCATCGAATTATGAGGGGGTGTGTCTGTCTCTGGGATCATTAATCAATTTGTGGGGTAAATGGCCATTTAAAAAGGTCATAAAATCCTGTCAGCATAGCCCCAACTTCCAGGCTGATTTTTTGCAACTTTATAGGATTTGGTAAATAGGGAAAATATGTACTGAAAAATTGCTATAAAATTGTGGTTTTGTGCTTAATTTTAACGATATTAATGTGTTTTTTTTTTCTAATTGTAACTTGTTTGTATTTTAAGGACTCTTCTTATAGTTTGTTTTCTTGTCATTAAAAACTAAGAGTATAATTTGTAAATCAGGTCTTTGCTTTCTATGAACCAAAGAAACTACATATTTTAATTCAAAAGAATCTTATTTTTCGGCATATATGTAGGTCAAACTTTTTGCTGCATATAATTTATACATTTTTCGGGGGCCCTGAGAAGCATCATCTGAGCTAGTTCCTGTTTTGTTGTTATCTATTCATTAATTTTAATGATATGGCTCCCCAGAGGTGTCCCATCCTGTTCTGTGTTTTGAAATCATCAACTTTACTTGCGGAGAATCCTGCGGCAAACATTTTTAAACGCTTTCAGCTGGCACAGACTTTTCCGTTTTCCTTAATCCCCTATCCTTTTTGCTTTTGCTTTGGCTTTTTCCCTGCTCATTTCCGAAGTGACATACACAATTTGTGCTCCGCTCGCCTCGGGCTGAATGGGTGTATGGGTTACTATATGGGTTAGGTGGCGAGTGGGTTGTCTGCTGCCCCCTTTCATCATAATTATAAACACAAAACAGACAGCAGGATGGATGGGTAAATGGATGGGCTTTCACTGGGGTACATACAACTCTTGTTCGCTACCTCCTTGCACTTTTCCATTTACCATTTGCCATTCAAGGCAAGGTAGAGCAACATGTGGTAGTCTCTGTACGTGGCCCACATTCGTGGCCCTCTCGCAATTAACAGATCAGAGCGATTCATCTCCAGACTCCGACGATGGCGGGCCATCCATTAAAAAGGGGTTCCAGGGGCTCTCTTCCAGGACCTGTGATTCCTGTGAACGCCTTTGTTAACCGGTCTCAAGCGCCTCGTTGGCTTTTATTATTATCGTTGACCAGAGCTGGCAGGTTGTGAGGTTTTTTTTTATTTTGAGAGAAAAGTGTACTTTTAATAAAGAATTCTTAATTGGGAAAATGTGTATTATCTTATGTGATGATTTCTTTTAATTAAAAGATAAAAATTTCAACAGAAAACCTAAGAACTTTAAGATATTATTAAAGATAACTTATTTTTGAGCCTTTAAAATAATATTAAAATATTTTTCATCACCAAAAATTAATATAATTTGTAGTTCAAATTGATTTATATTTAATTTCATAATACTTTTTAGACAATTTCTTATTTTTTTAATAATTTTCTAATAACATAATCAAAGCCAGTGTCCTGGCAGCACTATCTACTCCTGTGCCATGTGAATGTCCCTGTCGATTTACATTTACATTTACATTTCCCCTCCGTCATCGTTCACTGTAATTACGATAATTACGACAAGAACCTGTGAGGGAGGGGAGGGGGATAGCTCCTTAGAGCAGCACCTTAATGAAGCCGCATTCAATGCAGTCCACTGATGCAGTCCCTCTGCATCCGAATGGGTGTTCCACATGAGCGATGGCCACTCATCCGTCACTCTCCGGCTGTCCGCTACCGTCCAATTTCAATGTCCTCGCTCTCGTTCCCATTCTCCACCGTCGTTGTCGTCCTGTTTATCCACTTAGCAGCTCACGGACCTCGTGTCGTTAATTGAAATCTTTCGCATTAAGCCGCAGGACTCCCACCAGCGTCCTTCAATCTTCGCCCATTGCTTTTGCGTTTCCTCTTTTGTTCCACCGGTAGCCGGGCATTTCCGCTTATTGTTTTTTTTTGTTATTAAAGTTTAATTAAATACCTTTTTAAAAACTCTCACGCATGAGTGGAAAATATTTTTTAATGAGCTTTTGTGCCTGCCTTTTGTGTGTGAAAAATGAAATATACGTCAGGGCGGCGGCCAACACGGCGTATGCGTGTTTTTCTTAGCCTTTAAAAAGCGCGTAAATTGATTGCAAACAAAGCGGGTAAAAAGCATACAGACAAACACCTCGGAAATAATTAACACTCCCAGGCGTTAAAGTTGCAACCATAAATATATCAGTTTTCATGAAAAAAGAATGGGAAATGTATATTTAAACCGAAAGTGTTAAAATGCTGATGACTTAAGCCCAAGGGAGACCCAGAGGTATTTTGCAGATGGAAATTAAAATTATTAAATGCCATCATCCATAAAATTTGCACAGGTAAAACTCCGAGCAGAAAAAAGCAAATATTAACTTTCATCTTTCAGTCTGGAAACAAATTCAATTGGCATTGTTCTAGCATTAACTTCATTATTATTATTATTTCTCTCTTTAAACAAAAGCCTTTTTGAAGTGGCAACAATTAATAGCAATTGAGTTTGTTTTGTTTGAAGTGAAATTTGATCCATATTGACTTTTCATTATGAAATAAATGACCAATTAGCAGGGAATCACTTAATCAAATCATTTAAATTGAACTTTGAGTGTTTAATAATGGAAATAAATACCATTTGTAAACTTGACATGCTGAATAAAGGTAATTAAACATATTACTTAATAGCAAAAATAAATAAATTCCATTTTAATTGCTACATCAATTCACAAATGTTGAAAATGTTGCCTTTGGCAAGGTCATCTCTCTCTCTAATTATTCACCTCCGTTTTTTGTATACATTTTTTGTTTCCACATAAAATTAACAAGAAATAAAAAGCTGTATAAATATTAATAAAATTACTAGGCACACACACAAAAAAGAAACTTTTACAAGTACCTGGCCTGGATTAATTATACCGTTTGCAAAAAAAAAAAAACACAAGAAAAACTTTCGCTGGCAAAAATACTTGTGATATTAAAGGTGGGCTTTGGTGGCGTGAAAATCTCCGGAAAATTTAGGAGAAAGGAGCAGGAGCAGGAGCAGATGCTTGGCAAAAAGCCCAAGCTAAAATGCAAAACACAACCGTAACCATGGCCGTTGTCGTAACCATTAGCCGTAACCAAAAACCGAGCCAGACATTGAATTGACCTTAATAAAGTCGACCTGCCTGGGCCTTTTCTTTATTTTTATTTTTATATATATACTCCGTTGCTACTTGTAAATAATTCCAAGTTTCTCTCATTTCAGAAAATGCTGATACTGCTGCCGCTGCTGGGGATTTTTGGTAATGCTCTCGTTGCTGAAGTCGAGGCCAGTCTGAGTCTGGGCTTTAAGGCCATCAAAGTGAGTGTGAACGAAATGCGAATTCAGCCAAGCCATGAAAATCTTTTATGAATGCTTTTAATGCTCTCTCTTTTCCTAATTATGCAATCCCATTCCCATTGGTTGTTTTTTTTCATCTGGATCAGTTGCCCAGGCATCCCAATCCGGGTAAGTTCCTCAGGATTTCGATTTCGATTTCAATTGAATTGCACAGCTTCGATGCGTATTTTGCAATTTGGAAGTTGAGTTTGAGGGGAAGATTTCCGAATTACATTTACTGTGTGTAATGATTAATGAAGGCCAGTGTTGGCATCAGAAAGGGTATATAGTTTAATTTCCTATAAACTTCAAAAATTAAATTTCTCAGCATCACTTTTCCTTTATCAAGGATATCCTTTTGCAAAAATATCCCCTAAAATGACAGCAATTTTCTCAGAAAAAAAGCAAATAAAGGGAAATAAAGCGTATACAAAATTTGACAGGCACAATAGATGGGCCCAGAAATTTCATTAAAACTTGCAGCAAGGAAATGTTGTTTCGTTGTTCCCAATTCCACTTGCTTGTTCGCTTTTGCCAAAAAGTTGTGGACTCTCCATGCTCCTTCTAATATTGATTGTGCACCTATATAACCAGCAGCAGCATCCTGGATTTCAGATTCCGGATCCCAGCTTAGAGTAGCTTAGATATACCATCTCCTGCGACACACACACACACTCACCAGCTAACTAACGAGTAAAGTGATTTTAATGGTTTTATGTTCGATTCGTTTTCTTCGTTTTTTTTTGTACCTCCTCCCACTCGTAGTCAGACTTTTTACCAATTCACCCCGACATGTGCCATTTTCCATGCTCTTTCTATGCTTTTCAATGCTTTCAACACACACATGATGTTGTCGTAGAAAGCTGTTCGAAATTAAACAGCAGCCAGCCAGTAGTCCCGTCCGAGAACTGTGCCAGAAACTTTTCGTTTCGATTCGATGCGATTCGTTTTGAGGGCGTTACAACAGCAGCAACAAAACTCCAACCAATATCGTGCTTCCTCTATATTATATATGTTTTTTTATATATTTTTTTGCCCCATTCGAGTCAAAAGTTTTGAGTCAAATGCCAATACAGCTTGTGTGTGTGAACCAAAATAAAAGTTTTGCCGGCCAAACTGAGCTCAGGACTCCTGGTGGCCCTCGCACGTAGTCCAGCGAGTGGTCCTGGCCCAGGACATATCAATGCCCCACACGTCAGCATTGGCTGCTTTGGTATGCAGAGGGAAAAATATATAGGAATTCATTTTTAAGGTCTTTTAGAAGGGTTTTTAAATGTATTTTTAACTATGGAAATCTTAGGAATATTTGTGTTTCCTTGAAAAGTAAAAGATTTTTGTCTTTATTGTATTTCAAGCTAAAGAAATTCTAGAAATATTTAATTTTACTTAAAAACTAGAAGATTCTTTCCTTTTACATTTATTAAAAATTTATTAAAAATTGTAAAACCCCTTTCTTTTGTATAAATATCACTTTTTTGTTATATTTCTCTCAGTTTTTAGCTAACCCTCCACCCAAGGACCTAAGTTGCATTGTTCAGGCGGTGCAGAACAAGTTTATTTAAACTGTAGAACTTGCTCTTTATTCCTTAGAAAGTTTACCAGTAACACAAAAAATGCCAAGACTCCTGTGAACTTGGCCCAAACATATTTGCGAATACGTGAAGCAATGAAGAGCTCTCACAAACAAGCCATAAAAGTTCACTTCGAATGAGCTGCAAAGATTAGTCCTGAACATATCATTTGCAGGCGATGCCAAGGCATGCTCATGGTCATAAAATTTGCAAAAAACTTTCTCTAAGAAAAGTTGCAAAGGAAAAGCCATTTTACAAATGCCTTTCAATCATACAAGTTGAGATTTATGTGTTACTTCCTGTAAAGTAACTTTCTCTATTAATATGCATTTGAATTATTAAAAATTAGACTGAAACCACCTTTAAACTATTTCAATTCCCCACTTAGCTAATCGGATTTTTTCTCAGAGTTTTCCCAGCTTGTTGAACTTTGATTTTCCCTTTGGCCATCTGGGCCAAGTGTATTGTCAAACATATATCCTGGGGACAGTACAGATTTTAGTTTTCTGAAGTAGAATTTGGTAACAATTTTGCAGCCCTCAATCACATGTGTTGATGTCCCAAGCAAACACTTGAGATACAAAAATTGCGCATACGCAGCATGGGCCAGGGTTCTTTTTGGAAACTTTTGTTTGGTCTAAGGACTACTTTGGCCTATTTTTTTTTTTGCTATATCCATGATCTAGCCAGACGGCGAGGGCACTCAAAACTTGTCGCACACGCTCGAGTGCTGTAAATCTTTGCACAAAATGAAACTTTATTTGGTCATGGTCATCAACGACTTAAGTAAATCTAAAAACTCTAAGTAAAACAAACACTCCATCGTAGGGCCTTGCAGAAGCCGCATAAAACAAATAAACTGCGGACACGTGACCCCAAAATGGGGTGACGGTGACCCTGCTGGGGTGCACCATCATTGGCAAAAAAGGGTAGAGTTCATTTCGAGCTTAGGTATATGTATATTATATATATATATTATGTATAGCATGTAGCCAGGCAGAGAGACATATCTGCGACCCCTTGAGTGCGCTTTGCCGAGCATCCGAGGGCCTTTAATGTTGTCAACGAGCGGCAGATAAAAGCGCTCGCATTGCACATTCCAGAGTTCACTTCCGCATACACTTTGCTGGTAGGAAGGGTATGTTGGATATTGGATCATTGAAGAGGTAGAACATAAATATTAAACCAAAATTTATATGAATTTTTCTGAGTAAAGATCATATTTTTATAGATTCATTTCTTTCAATCACAAAGAAGTTCTTTTTTAAAAAGTAGAAAAACCGTATTATAAATCATTTATATTCAGGTCTTTGTTTGTTCTTTATTTTCTCAGGGCTTATATATTTTTCCTACATACGAAAAAAAAGTATATAATCTTCGTTAAAATCCTTACCCCTAGTGCCTTGCCCTTGTCTTTACTCAGCTCGATTCGTTAAGGATAAGCGATTCGTTGTAACGAACTCGCTCACACAAAACATCCTCACAGGTGCATGTTCGAATAATGTCTCTGTATAAAGGATATAAGGATATCTTACACCCACACCCACACATCCTGAGTGTGTGCAGACATCTTCCTGAGAGTACGGAAAAATACATTAAGAAGATTGCACTCTCGAAAATGACACAGATGCCGGGTTGAAATACCCTCTAAGACTAGAATACTCCAATTTCCGCCTCGACTGGCGACTTTTCAATAATAAACGTAAATTGCTAATGTCATAAAGATGCGACAACGTGCCCATATTCATTACAATCAGCTAGCGCAATGCCAATTTTCACATTAACCATTGATGCCAAATGAATGATGATGCCAGTAGTAGTAGACGAGGTGGTCTGTGCTCCTCCCTGCCGTGGCAGTCACGTCGCCAGTGAAATCAATTCAAAGTGGAAAAGTACAGGGCACGTACCCGATCTCCCACAGAAACGCACAAGTGGCAGGAGTAGGAGGAGTAGTAGGTCCTGTGTGCTCCTGTGTGCTAACAGCTTCCACAGTGCGATTGCAAATGCCTTGCCACAAGCCCGGGTAATTGTGATTGGCGGCTACACACACGAGTTTTTGGCCACGCCAAAAACAAGGAACAAGCACAAAGGAGAGCTCGGGAGATAGGAACAAAAGCGGAAACATGTGAAAGGACACTGGGGGAAAATTTAAGGGAAACATATAAATGATACAGAACATTTTGGAAAGCTAAGAAGAAAATTATGGGTTTTTAAAAATCAAGATTCAGGAATAAGAAAATTTTTAAAAATATATTTCTCTCATTTCTTGATTTTTTCTATCTCAAATTTTCTTCTCTGTAAAAAAGGAAAATCTTTTTCGGCAAAAGCAAACTTTGGCGACCTAATGGCATGCCATAAAGCAGCGGCATTTGTCAATATCAATTTTGATGAGACACGAACGCAAACGCAGGTCTATTGTTTGCGCTGTAAATATGCGATTCTAGCGAAATTTATAACAAACATACATGGCACAGACATAGCACACTGACATTAATTGGGTTCCTATTCATTGGCATTGCACATACCACATACGACATGTATTACGCATTTGATGACATAAATTAGCTGGGAAATGAAACGAAATGAAATGAAATGAAATAATAAACAAGTCGAAGCACAGGGAAAGCACAGTGATTGCCAAAAAGGACTCCAAAGGCAGGAAGGAAGTTCCTTTCATTTTAAAGGGCACAGCACCGCACACAATTTGCTGTGGAAATTTTCCTAGCAACCTTTACAGAGAGCTTTTATGCTCATTTAACTTTTCTATTTTCTATTTTTCCTGCTTTCAACCAACGCTTTTTCGGTGACAACAATGGGAAACCGGCAACAACCAACCAAAAAAACGCCTGCTGTTCTGGATTCGGATTTGGTCTCTTGGATCCTTGGATTCCTATTCCGATTTTGCCGCCGGTCTTGGCCGCCTGCAGCCAATTGCAGCGTGGGCAACACAACATTCGCACATGGAGTCACATTTAAATTGGATTGTAAAACTCAATGCGTTTGCGAGGTGAGTTGCTGGGGGCGCCGACCATGGTGGCTAAAAGCAGGGCCGAGGGCCATCCGCACAAGATTTGGCCACAAACCACAGACATCCTCAGCCACAGAGCCAAAAAACACAGATACAGATACTTGGGCACTGAGAGAAGGCAGTAGTATCAGAAAAGTAACAAGAATTACAAGTTTTTATTTTTAGGAAATTACTTTTACAATTCACTTAAAAGTGAAAGACATAATATTAAAACAAACAATTACTAAAATATCTAGGAATTAATAGAATTTTATAAAATGCTGAAAGGATGTCAACATGAGGCAAACAAAATTTAAACTTAATTTTTAAACAGAAATCGTTACCTTAAAAATCAAGTGCATTCTTTAAGATACATTTTAAAAGGTCATTATTATTTTAATTTTTGTTTTTAACTTTAAAATGTATTATTTTAATATTTAACTAGTTTTTTTTTTACTGTACTTTTACACACTGCGACACAGCAAAGCACTTTTCACAAATACGAAGCCACATTCCGGCCAAAAGCCAACTGCAGTTCAGTGAAACGATTCCCGTTTTGGGATCGCTGTTGTTTAACCTGTGCTTAGTCCCGCATTCCGCTTTCCTTTTACCCCCTTTTACCCCCTTTTACCCCCTTTTAGCTGGCTTTTAGTTTTTCATTTTCGGTTTTTATATACATATATTTTTTCGGTGGGATTAGCACCAACACTTGGCGCCATTTAAATGTGAATTGCTCTCGCTCTGTAGCGATTTTAATTAAATTTTAAATAAAGTGTGAAACGCTTGAAATTACAAATTTGGAGCGTGGCTCAGTAGTGGTTATAGTAGTTTTTTGATAGCCAACATTATAGGGTTTACTCTGCCAGCTAATGAGAGTTAAACAGTACTTAAACTAAGTTTAAATATAAGCTATTAGTAAAAGTAATAAACGAAACATAACTTGAGGTTTTAAAAATTTGGAAAAGCAGATGAAAAGTTTTTTCGTGTTATTTTTAATAGAGCTAAGCTAATGCTAATGTTCTAAGTTCATTCCGATTAAAGTTCACTTAAAAACAAATCTTAAAACTAAGAAAAAACTTAATCCATGACATTGCTTTATGGCCAAGAGCCTTGCCTTTCCAGTTTTTGCCACTTCTGGTCTGCGTCTCTCTGCACCTTATTTCCTTGGTAGTTTATCATGTGGCATAAAACCAACACAAATACTCGGGTTCCGGGCAAAATTTATGCAATGCAATTTCGTGACGATGCCAAAGACAAGGAGCGGTGTAAAAAAAAGCATCATCGGTCTCTGACCGCTTAGAGGGCGGAAAGTGGATTACAAACAAAGCACTTTGGGTCTGTCCGAAAATGTTAATTTAGTTATTAGTGCTGGCGGGATATTTTGGGAAAAAGGAATAAACATTAAAGAATAATTATTAACTAAAAGTACATAAAAGAGAAAAATGAGAAGCAGGTGGAATTTTTATAGGCAATTTTTATATAGTTCTAAAAAATTCTATAGTTCCTGAAAAATTAAAACTATATAAAAATTGTCTATAAATTTTCCATCCCAAAAAAATCATACACTTTATTTTTTATATATTTTATTTTATACATTTTTGTGTTCCGCTTAAAAAGGTTAATATCTATCCAGAAAAAAGTCAGATCAACAGCACTCTCCCCCCACACACACACCCAAATCACACCCTGCGAACAAAGTTCGTGTCCAAGTCGAGGACCTTGCGGGAACCTTGTGAAGTTAGTTCCCCTTCTGTTGTGCGATTGGCCCAATATTTTCTTTACATTATGACTTTATTTTCGGCTGCCCGGCCAAAGCTAAATAAACAACAATGGTGGGCCAACATATTTAATGTATTTTAATGTGGCATTTTCAGAATGGCCGCCACGCCTGCTCGACGCTCTGTCCCAATGAGCAGCTTCCGGCGCCGGAGGATACGATTTCCTGCCGATCGCCGCGCCTCGTCGAAGTTCCCGGCCACTGTTGCAAGATGTGGCTCTGTGAGAATCCTACAGCTGATGGTAAGTTGTCTAAATATATATACTGAGAGAAAAAATTAGGTAAATAAATAAAAAGAAATAATTAAATTAAATTAAAGGAAATACTTAAATATTTTGCAAAGCTGTAATGATTTTTTAGAGCCATTTCTCTGCCGACGTCAACGATCGATGTTCGATGTGACGTCACTTCTGTTAAGTTGCCATTACAGAGGCAAAAATCTGTTATGTTGCGATTCGAACATGTTGGTTGGTTCGATGCAACCGCGAAAGGAAGACAACAATTAAGCCTCTATCTAAGTTAGTCTAAGCTATTACACGTGTTCGAGAGAGAAGGCAGTATCAAGCTTGGTTCAAACTGGGAATTGATCTCAGTGCGCCTCTTTCACACTCTGGCTGGCTTCAAACCTCAACAACTGCTAAAATTTCTTAGAGTGGGCCTTATCAGTACCTATTATTTAAATACTTTTTCCACAGTGCACACTGTGGCACAGCCAGCCCTCGTCTTGTTATTGTTTTATAAGTGTGTTTATGGCTGTGGCCATCCCATTGTGTCCAAACTCCTGCTCCTGCTCCCGCTTCTGTCCAGTGGTCCGAGTTAATGGCGCTCAGGGGCGTGTCGTGCTGGGTCCGATGCGCAACTTAATGCTTTTTAAGCGACCCCCCCACAAAACCCACATCCTACCCAGACCCACCCCAAAACCGAGTCCAAAGTGCAGCGCATATTTATGAAGATGAATTATTCCATCACGAGACTGGAGGCGACCAGCAGGAGCAGTTGCTGGGACAAGGAGCAGAGGCGCAGCTAGCCGGCGGCAGCAGCAGCAGCAGCGTAATTACTTACACAGGGATTAAGTGTTAATTAAACGCGCAGAATGCAATAAATAAACAAGATATTAAGCGCTTCAGCCTTGTCCCTTGGTCGTCAGTGAAGACTGGAGACCTTGATGAGGCGGAGCTCACCAGATGTGATGAGTTGAGCTCGATGCCAATCCTTGGGAAAGACAGCAGTTAGCATAGTTCCGCAGGCCATTAAATGGAGTAATATTCCCTTGAGGGAAATTAGTTAAATTCTGCTTGTTCTAGGAAGGAAATCGTTTATATTATAATTTCCATTAAAAAAAAATATATTTTATTTTTCAAATATTTTTAAAAGACATGAAAATAATACTTTAAAAGTGACATACAAATTACAAAGTATTAGCAGCGGCAACGTTTCCTGAAACGAATTAATATATCATTAAAAAATCTAAAAAAAAATCTTTAAAAAAACTTACTTCTTAGAAACATCTGCCTCACGATTTGCACTATTCAAAGCAAAATCTAGGAATATTTCCTCTAGCCTTGTTTGCGTTATCAAATAATCTTCAATATATAGTCTTCTCTGGTTGCTCTCAATGAGTGAAAAAACTTGAGACAACATCTGTGTCTGGGGTATATAGTAGGTGAGAAGTCCATTGTATTCATCCTTTAGTTCAGCCTCGGAGATATATTTCAATACAAAATTGTGTACGATTTTAATTCGATCCGAAAACCCTTTTTCGGGTGTCAATTGAATTACTTGGTCGACCTTGGCTGAGTTCTCATTAACTTCTCCGTTTAGTCTTACGGTTTCCGAGGTTGACGATGATGTCTGTACGATTCTCTGGAATGCTTTCTTTTGGGGCTTTACCTTTATTTTCAAAAAAAGGCCCTTTGCATACTGATTCTTTAGCCCCTGAGTTGAGCCTATGCATTTGAACTCACCATCCACCGTTATGGTGAGGCGGGTGCAGAGCGCCTCGCACTCGTCCATGCTGTGTGAGGTGAGGACCAGGGACTTGCCCGCCGTCCTAATAAGACCAATTATCTTCCATAGGTGTCGCCGGGCGCCGGGATCCATGCCACTGGTGGGTTCGTCTAGGAAAACCACCGAGGGGTTGCCTAAAATGGCTATGGCAGTGCTCAGTTTCCTTTTGTTTCCGCCACTATAATTCTTGGTCTGCTTGTCGAGGTGCTTCTGAAAGCCAAAGGCCAGGGCCAGGGTCATGCTTATCTCTGACACAAAGCGACACTGGACGCCCCTAAATAGGCAATAAATGCGCAGGTTTTGTCGTCCTGTCAGGTCCTCGAACAGGGCATCAAATTGCGGACAATAGCCGATCTTATGGCGAACTTTACTCATTTGCGTGGAAACACTTAAACCATCTACGTAGGCATCTCCAGAGGTGATTTCAGTGTCTCCAGTCAGCATCTTGAAGACACTGGTCTTGCCCGCTCCATTGATTCCCAGGAGACCAAAGCATTCGGCATTTGCCACGTGAAACGAAACGCCTTGCACAGCCAGTTTGTTTTTATATTGCTTCCTGATGTTATCCACCAGCAGAGGTATATCCTTTCGTTTGGAACTTATCATTTCTCTGACAAACCTACGTTCTTCTATTATATCCTGATTTTCCGCAGAAGCTCCACCGCCTGTTCGCTTTTTCTTGGTCTTGCATAATTTCCTTAGGGCATTGTGAATGGCTTCAAACAGCTTGGAATCGTGTATGATCAGAAATACAAAAAAAAATATGCCCACAGCTAAGGTATACGTTATCTCTGGCAAAATTCCAGGATGTTTCCAGCCAAAGTAACTTGGTAGATTACAACAATGTGGCATTCTCTTACACCTTAAATGTTCAGGAAGTCTCTGCACAATGGGCGCATCACAAGCTTGCCGAATACTGTCTGCCACGTGCAAATGACAAGCGGCACTGGCCAGGGAAAAATGGGGAAATATCCGAAAGTACCACGTTATTTTTTCGGCAATATTCTTTAGATTAATTACTTCTAACGATAAGATCACATACAGCATATAAAGAGCATTTCCCGTTATCACATTGAAAATTGCAATGCGAATAAAGCCTGTGGCGGCATCGGTAAAGCAGCCTGCTAGAACATAGCTTATCGACAGGGCGCCCAAGCCAAATATCAATAACAAGGCATAATATCGTCCCAGATCGACAAAAGTCGAATAGCCCGATACTTGGAAGGCACAAATTGTGAATATGGCCATTAGGGCTGAGAGCATGAATATCAGAAAGTCCCACAGGAACATTGTTATCCAGTAGGAGAAAGCATCGACGCCAGACAGGAACTGCAGGAGCTTCGCTCGCGTCTCCCGCTCCCTGATAATGGGTATTGCACAAAAAGCCGTCACGAAACACATGCACAAGGTCAAATTCATGGCAAATTCGGAGCCAAAGCCTTGGCCCTTGTCAACTCGCTGGATCCGGGTATCTTCGCTATACGGCAACGGCTTGTTGGTCACATAGGTGCCGGCCTCTTCGCCCAGATAAGTCCGGGCTATGGCATTATGCAGCAGATTCAGGGTCAATGGAGCCGTATGCATGGCCTTATTATTCAGCCAGACAATGCACTTCTTTGTGTCCAGTGTCGCTCCCGCAATGAAGGAATAGTCCAAGCGGTGGTTCCAGTTCTCGTCCAGACCCAATATGTATTTCTCAAAGCCGACACCATCCGTTGTCAGCAACTCGGTTCGATTTTTATACATTTCTATATGCTTGACGTAGGCCCTGGCCAGGGCACTCATTAGGGAATTGTCCTCCAGGAGCACGTAGCTCGATCGGTACTGGAGGGGTGATATCTGCATAGCCGGTAGTTCATAGTAAATGCGGCCGGCTCGGGAGTTGAATGTCGTCAAGACCAGTATGACCACAGGCAGGAATATCTGTATTAGTGTTAGCCAGTAATTGTGAAAGGATACCTGAATTTTTTTCAACATCAAAGCCTGAAAGCACATGAGGTAACGGACGAAACAGCTGTTCTCCCTCGTTCTGGTATCAAAGACCAGGCTCTGAAAATCAGGAGATGCTCTCTTGTCCTCCTGACCTCCCTGGGATCGTCTCTGCTGCTGATTCTCGCTATTGACCTCCATGAAGACATCCTCCAAGGTGGCCACACTAAGGCCATAGCCACTTAGTTTCAACTTGACATAATTCTCATCAAGATCTGCCAGCAAGGCAGAGAATTTCTTGGTCTCATTGTGGGGCAATCGATATGCCAGTTCAGTGCCCAGTTCCCTCTCAGGTTTCAAGTAAGGCAAATGTCGATTTATCAGCTGAGTTACGGCATCCACGTTGCAGTCACTCAGCATGGTGCAGACCAACTGGTAACCCGTTCCATATCGCTTTTTAAGATAGAAGGAGGAGCCATGACACTGGAGCCTGCCAGCGGACAGGATGGCTATGCGATCGCCCAGGACATCGGCCTCGTCCATATAGTGGGTAGTGAGGAGCACAGTCCTTCCCTTCTTCTCCGCCTGCAGCAGCTCCCAGAGGCTCTTTCGGCCGGCAGCATCGATGCCGGAACTTGGCTCATCGCAGAGCACAACTTGGGAGCTGCCGCACATTGCACAGCAGAGGGAGAGCTTTCGCTTCATGCCGCCGGACAGTCTCTCGGCAGTCACCAAGGACTTGGCTTCCAGACCCAGAATGCCCACGTATTTGCTAACTTCCCTGTTAACCCACTCCTTGCCACGAACTCCCTTCAGTTTGCTGAAGAATATTATGTGATCCCGGACACTCATCTTCATAAAGAGCACATTGTGCTGCGGACAGATTCCCAGCGACTCGCGAGCCTCCTCCAACTGTGTTCTGATGTCGTACCCATTGACCAGGGCCGTTCCGGCTGTGGGTGGCACTGTCCCCGTTAGCATACTCAACGTGGTGGTCTTTCCTGCGCCATTATGTCCGAGTAACACTGTGATTTCATCGCGAAACATCTTCAGATTCAGGCCCTTAACAGCCCTAAATTTGCCATAGGTTTTCTGCAAATTAATGAATTGGATGCCCACCTCGCGTTTCCTCTGGCAACCAACCTCTTCTGCTCCACCTCTTTTCCTTCTAGCATTTCCAGATTGAGACCTAGAGCCAAACCAAAACTTGCGCGTAAATAGAAAGTTCCACTTGCGACCGATGCCATATTTTCCTGGGAACACCTGCTCCACATACAAGCAAATGCCCAGGTATATAAGCGCCGACATGGTGAGCGTAATGATCAAGTAGAATAAGTTGAGGTCATCGTCCGCAGTGGCCGACTCGAACATGTTTTTCCAATTTGTTCCCATGCCAGTGCCCTCGAAGTTCATTATGATGTGAAAGCCAAAGCCCAAGGCCGAGTTCGAAAAGAACAAGGCTATCAGCAGTTTCCCCGCCAGACTGAGGGTCTCGTAGTAGTTGAAGGCATACGAGTAGGGAATGTAGGTGATGAACCACAAAATACAGGTGACCGCTGACGCCGTGCTGGAAGTGGAGAACAACACGGCCAGCATAAAGCAGAAGCATATGCTGGCAATGACGTAGGTGTGCAGGAACAGCATTATCGGTATCCACTCGGAGTAGGTGAGGATGGAGACGGAGTGATAGAAATTTACCTTGAACAGAACTATGATGATCTGCACGACGGCCATTAGCATTAGGTAGCTCTTCACGAACCAGGCAATCCAATGCAGAGCGTTGCCCACGCCGATCAGTTTCATGGTCTCCTTCAGTTGCAGCTCCTTTTCGGCGGCCACATCCTTGGTCACCACAGAGCAGGGGTACATGAAGCACAGAACGATCATGAAGGGCAGCAGTAGGCGCATTCCCCGCAACAGCGGATCGTAAATGTATTCCCTGTAGGGAAAACGCTGAAGCTCGACCTGCGGAAACTCAGCAGGATCTTGACTCGAAGCCAGCGACAGCCAGGACAAGGTGAGGGCATGCTGCAGTGGCAGGAATCCCTCCCGGAGATAACCGTCCGGAACGCCGCCATCGGGATCCTTCTCGTTGCGTGGCCCCGTCATGTCATATCTTGGGAATAGTTCAGTCGTATGCCAGGTCTCTATGATCTGGCCCGGCATCGTTCGCAGTTCACTGGGAAAACGCAGGCTGTAGGAGAAGTTGAGGGGATATTTCGGGTTCATAGCTCCGCCATCGTTATCCCCAAACTCAATGCCGGCAATAAAATTATGCTCCACTAGGTCATGTTCCATTTTTTGGGCACTTTCATAGGGACGCGTACCGTTAAGAAATAGGAGATATGCGGCTTTATTAGCTATAGCAGTATTAGCCGGAGTTTCCGGCGTATAGCAGAGAAATGGCTTGGGTATATTCAACGTTCCGTTGGCATGATATAACCTGTTCCCCGCACTCAACGATTTGCTGTATAAAAACAAGTTATCGATGGGCACGGGGTCGTATGAGCTCGCTGGCATGCTGTCAGGCTTAACAAAAATGCGCAGGACTACGAGGAGACATATGAATACCATGGGGACGACCAGTGCCACCACAACCTGGGTCAATTGATTCCTTTGAAGAAGCCAGTTCTTCCATAGGAGCAGCTTCAGTTTTTCCGAATCTGGCACGGCGTATATTTCACTTTCGGATATTCTCTTGCCGGAGCTCATGGTTTTATACAAATATTTTGTTTTTTGTTGTTTTTGGCAACAGGTTGACTTAAATTTCAAGGAAAGTGAAGGCTTAGAGAACAACAAATGTAAAAATTATATGGAAAGACAAAAGCAAAATAAAATATTCTTTAGGGTCGTTGTAGTAACAATTTTATACAATTTAAAATATATAAATTATATAATATGCCTTCAATAATATATATATATTTATATTGTTCACTTTAAAGAAAATTCTGGAAATTAAATGTAGACTTGTGCCTTATTTACTGCCTCTTTTACATAAATTGTAGTATTTTTATTATAAATTTCAAATAGTTTTAGTAGGAAATAAAATTTCTTAAAAAAACTTAAAAATTTCCCCATTTTCATTATAGTAAATCCCAAAGGGTTCATGCTATAAGTTAAAAGTTTTTCAGTAAATTGAATTTCTTAAATATTCGTAAAAGACTTACCCTAAAAATTAGTGGCAAATTGTTAAGTATGTTATTAGAAGCAGCCACATACTCTGTAAATTATAATATAACTTTTAACTTTAAAAAAATCGAAATAATATAATAAAACCTACTTTTTCTTAGCCACATCTGCCTCACGATGTTCACAATTCAAGGCAAAATCTAGGAATATTTCCTCTAGCCTCCTTTGCGTTATTAGATAATCTTCAATAAATAGAATCTTCTGGTTGCTCTCAATGAGCGTAAAAACCTGAGGCAACATCTGTTTGTGGGGTATATAGTAGGAGAGTAGTCCATTGTATTCATCCTTCAGTTGAGCCTCGGGAATGTGTTTCATTATAAAGGTATTTACTACCAACATTCGATTTGAAAACCCTTTGTCAGGCATCGATTTTATTCCTTCGATGACTCTGGATGAGTTATCATCCAATTCTGTGTATATTTCACTTTCAAGACCTTGTGCGGATGACGATGATGATTTCTGTATGACTCTCTGAAATATTTTCTTTTTGGACTTAATTTTTAGCTTTAATATAAGGCCCTTTGCATACTGATTCTTGAGACTCTGAGTTGAGCCCAAGCACTTGAACTCACCATCCACCATGATGGTCAGGCGCGTGCACAGCGCCTCGCACTCGTCCATGCTGTGTGAGGTGAGGACCAGGGACTTGCCCGCCGTCCTAATGAGACCCATTATCCGCCACAGATTTCGCCGGGCGCCAGGATCCATGCCACTGGTGGGTTCGTCCAAGAAAACCGCTGATGGGTTACCTATAATGGCTATGGCAGTGCTGAGTTTCCTTTTGTTTCCGCCACTGTAGTTCTTGGTCTTCTTATCCAGGTGATTCTGAAAGCCAAAGGCCAGGGCCAGGGTCATGCTTATCTCTGAAACAAAGCGACGCTGGATGCCCCTAAATAGACAATAAATGCGCAGGTTTTGTCGTCCTGTCAGGTCCTCGAACAGGGCATCGAATTGCGGACAATAGCCGATCCTAGGGCGTACCTTCCTCATTTGTGTGGACACACTTAAACCATCAATGTAGGCATCTCCAGAGGTGATTTCAGTGTCTCCAGTCAGCATCTTGAAGACACTGGTCTTGCCCGCTCCATTGATTCCCAGGAGACCAAAGCATTCGGCATTTGCCACGTGAAACGAAACGCCCTGGACAGCCAGTTTGTTATTATATTCCTTCCTGATGTTATCCACCAGCAGAGGTATATCCTTTCGTTTGGAACTTATCATTTCTCTGACAAACATTCGTTCATCTGTTATATCGTGATTTTCCGCAGAAGATCCACCGCTTGTTCGCTTTTTCTTTGACTTGCATAATTTCTTAAAGGCCATGATAATGACCCCAATCAGCTTGCCATCGTTAACGACTAGAAATGTAAATAGAAGTATGCCCACAATTAAGGTAATCACGATCCATTGCAAAATTCCGGGATCTTTCCAGGCAAAGTATCCTGGCATATTACAGCAAATTTTCATTCTGATACATGCATTTTCGGGATCTTTCAAACACTCGAGTCGAAGGTCGCGCCCCAAGTACAAGTTTTTAGCGGCATAACCCAGGCCAAGATGGGGAAACACCAAAGGGATGACGCTCCCACTCCCAGATTCACTATACTTCTGAGCCGTCATATACAATTGTAAAAAACCACATCCCGTTAACAAATTAAAAACTGCAATACGAACGAAACCCGTGGCGGCATCGGTGAAGAAAATCGCGAAAACATAACTTATCGACAGGCCACTCAAGCCAAATATCAATAATACGGCATAATATCGTCCCAGTTCGACAAACGTCGCATAGCCCGACTCTTGGAAGGCGGCAATTGTTAATATGGCCATCAGGGCTGAGAGCATGAATATCAGATAGTCCCACAGCAAAATTGTTATCCAGTAGGAGAAGGCATCGACGCCGGACAGGAATTGCAGGAGCTTCGCTCCCGCCCGCCGCTCCTTGATAATGGGTATGGCAAAGAAGGCGGTCACGAAGCACATGCTCATTGTCAACTTGGTGGCCAATTCGGGGCCCAATTTCCTACCCTTCTTCAGTTGCTTGACTATGGGATCCTTGCTGTACGGCAACGGCTTGTTGATCACATACGTGCCGGCCTCTTCGCCCAGATAATGCCGGGCCATGGCATTATGCAGCAGATTCAGGCTCAGGGGAGCCGTGTGCAGGGGCTTGTTATTCACCCAGACAGTTGTGTTCTCTATGTCCAATGTCACTCCCCCCACAAAGGAGTAGTCCAAGCGGTGGTTCCAGCTCTCGTCCAGATCCAATATGAAATTGCCAAACCTGACACCATCCGTTGTCAGCAACTGACTTCGCTTTTTATAAAGTTCCATATGCTTGGCATAGGCCTCGCCCAGGGCACTCATTTCATCGGTGGTGGAATTATCCTCCAGGACCACGTAACTCGATCGGTACTGGAAAACTGATATCTGCATCGGCGGCTGGTCAGGGTAAATGCGACTGGCGTAATTGTTCAATATGGTCAAGACCAGTATTAGCACGGGCAGCAGGATCGGTATTAGAAGCATCCAGTAATTGCGAAAGGATATCTGAACTTTTTTGAACATCAAAGCCTGAAGGCACATAAGGTAACGCACGAAACGCCGATTCTCCCTCGTTCTGGTATCAAAGACCAGGCTCTGAAAGTCAGGAGATGCGTTCTTGCCCTCCTGACCTCCCTTGGATCGGTTCTCCGTCTCCTCCCTGTTGACCTCCATGAAGACATCCTCCAAGGTGGCCACACTGAGCCCGTAGCCACTTAGTTTTAGCCTGACATAATTCTCTTCGAGATCTGCCAGCAAGGCAGGGAATTTCTTGGTCTCGTGGTGGGGCAATCGATATGCCAGTTCAGTGCCCAGTTCCCTCTCCGGTTTCAAGTACGGCAAGTGACGATTTATTAACTGGGTTACGGCTTCCACGTTGCAGTCACTCAGCATGGTGCAGACCAACTGGTAGCCCGTTCCATAGCGTTTCTTCAGATGAAAGGAGGTGCCATGGCACTGAAGCTTGCCATCGGACAGGATGGCTATGCGATCGCCCAGGACATCGGCCTCGTCCATATAGTGGGTGGTGAGAAGCACAGTCCTTCCCTTCTTCTCCGCCTGCAGCAGCTCCCAGAGGCCCTTTCGGCCGGCAGCATCGATGCCGGAACTTGGCTCATCGCAGAGCACTACCCTGGCATTGCCGCACATGGCACAGCAGAGAGAAAGCTTTCGCTTCATGCCGCCAGATAGCCTCTCGGCAGCCACCTTAGCCTTGGCCTCCAGACCCAGAATACCCACATACTTGCTTACCTCCTTGTTGACCGCCTCCTTGCCACGGACTCCCTTCAGTTTGCTGAAGAATATTATGTGATCCCGGACACTCATCTTCATGAAGAGGACATTGTGCTGCGGACAGATGCCCAGCGACTGGCGGGCCTTTGTTAATTGGGTTCTGATGTCGTAGCCATTGACCAAGGCCGTTCCGGCTGTGGGTGCTACTATGCCCGTCAACATATTTATTGTGGTGGTCTTTCCGGCTCCATTATGTCCGAGTAAAACTGTGATTTCATCGCGATACATCTTTAGGTTCAGGCCCTTGACAGCCTTAAACTTTCCATAGCTTTTCTGCAAATTGTTCAAATGGATGCCCACATGGCGTTGTGTCTGGCAACTTCCGGCCTTCTCCCTCGTAGCAGCCTGAGACCTACTGTCGCTCCAGAACTGGCGCTTGAATAGGAAGTTCCACTTGCGAGCGATGCCATACTCTCCAGGGAATACCTGCTCCACGTACAGGCAAATGCCCATGTACATGAGCGCCGACGCGGTGAGCGTCAGGATTACATAGAACAAGGTGATCTCATCGTCCTCAGTGACCGTTCGGAACATGGTGGTCATAGTGGTTCCTTTGCCAGTGGCCTCAGAGTCCATTATAATGTGAAAACCAAAGCCCAAAGCCGAGTTTGAAAACAAAAAAGCTATTGTAAGTTTCCCCACGAGACCGAGGCGATCGTAGTAGTAGCTGGCAATCGCGTAGGGGGTAAGGGTGATATACCACAAAATACAGGTAACTACCGCCGCCGTACTGGCCTTGGTGAACAGCTCGGCCAGCAGGAAGCAGAAGCATATGCTGGCAATGACATAGGTGTGCAGGAACATTAAAATCGGCAGCCAGTGGGAGTTGTGCATGAGTGAGATTGGGTTATCTTTAGTGTCCTTTATCTGGAACATAGCGACGATGAACACCACGATCACGATCAGCATTAGGTAGTTCTTTACGAACCAGGCGATCCAGTGCAGCCAATTCTCGACACCGATCATCTTCATGATCTCCTTCAGCTGCAGCTCCTTCTCGGTGGCCACATGCCTGGTCACCACCGAGCAAGGGTACATGAAGGCCAAAACGATTATTAAGGGCAGTATTTCACGCAGGGTTTTCATCAGATCATCTGTTGTGTGGGCTCTGTAGGGAAAAACTTGGAGCTGGACGCTCGGAAACTCGAGATCAGTTCGACCTGAAGCTTGGGATAGCCAGGACAGGGTAAGGGCGTGCTGGATAGGTAGGAATCCCTCCTTGGCGTAATAATCCTCTTCATGGCGATCCAAGCGTGGCCCTTCCTTGACAACTTTTTCGAAAAGTTGATGAGTATTCCAGGTCACTAAGTGTTCGCCAAATGCCGTTCGCAGTTCACTGGGAAAACGCAGGCTGTAGGTGAGGTTAAGTGGAAATGTTGGGTCCCTCGCTCCGCCATTGTTTTCTCCAAACTCGATACCGGCCATAAAGTTATACTCCATCATGTCCTTCTCCATATCCATGGCACTTTCATAGGGACGCGAACCGTTAAGAGACAGGATAACTCTGGCAGTTTCCACAATAGCAGCATTTGCCTGAGTGTCCGGCGTAAAGCAGAGAAATGGCTGGGGCATATTCAGCGTTCCATTGTCAAGCAATATCATGTTCCCCTTCTTAACCCATCTCATAAATAGCGACAAGTTCTCTATGGGAACGGGTTCGTAACGAATTTCCCCCCATTTTGTGGGCTGAACGATGTCGCGCATTATCACTAGGACACTTATGAATAGTATGGGGACAACCAGTGCCACCAGAAGCTGGAGTTTTTGATTTTTCTGAAGAATCCAGTTCTTCCACAGGAGCAGCTTCAGTTTCTGCCAAGCTCCCACGCTGTAAACCTCACTATCGGAGGGTCTTCTGTAGGAGCTCATGTTTTTGTGCAAATATATTGCTTGTTGTTATTTTTGGCAACTGGTTGACTTCAATTTCAAGGATAGTTAGGGCTTAGGGAAAGAAATAAAAGCTGACAAATGAAGAGCCAATTTTAAATTCAATTATAATTTGTATTTTACTTTTGTAAGAAGATTTGATAAAAATAGGTAGAAGGTAGCATTAAATAATAAAAACTTAATTTCAAATAAAAAGAAAATTTCAAATTCTCCAGCAATTTCTAAGCAAGACGTCACGTCTTGTGCCTTGTCATTTTCCGTCAGTGATTAATGACTTAATCCGATCTCGAACAGGCTCATTAGTAAGCAAAATCCTCTCTGTTCGTTGCAGTCTACGCCACCTGCCACAATAGCACCACCAGCGGCAACTGGACGGACTGCAGCAGGAGCTGTGGCCTGGGCACCGCCACGAGGCACACCTCCACGCACGCGGGCTGCCATCAACTGAGCAATTTGCGGCTTTGCGAGAATCGCAGGTGCGACAAGGAGGACAATAAGAGGAGTGGAAGCTACCACCCATTAACGCCTAAGCGGAAGCTCCACCACTCGAAGACCCCCTCCCATTCCCACTCCCACCATCATCATCATAATCATCATCAAGCGGAGCCTGAACACAGGATACGTGTGAGTATCTCTATCCTTGTTTATGAAACTATAAGAAGGGAAATTAATATCGATAAGATTTTAAATACTACAAAATTAATAATAAATACAAAAAGCACAACCGTTTCTTTACATTACATATTGTCTTTACTAAGCCCAACCTTTTCTTTACTTTTTCTACCTTGACTTATCCGGCGTAGAAGGGCCACGAGTGCCGTAGCATTCAGCGCCTCGGTCCGGCCAGGATCCGGCTGGGCGAGTGCATCTCCCGTAAGCTGTATCGACCGAAGCTCTGCGGGCGCTGCCATCGGGGGATCAAGTGCTGTGCCCCGGCGGTCTCCACCACGATACAGGTAAGCAAAAGGTAGTGGATTCTCCAGGTATATGTATATATATATCCCTGCGCCACCTGCCAAGTGGCCAACGGAGCTAAGACGGTCTCAGCTTTAAGTCCGTTGCCTTGGGAGGAGAACGAAAATATCTGCGGATTGAGTTTCCCTTTTTCCATTGCTCTTTCGCAGCAGCAGGAATGCAAATATCCAGCATCCTTGCTTGTTTGTTTGCTATTTGTCTGTTGCAATTAAATTACCGTTAATTTGAATGCAATCCCATCGAAAGGCATTAAAAGACGCCGCCTTTGTGCTGTAGCTAAAGGTTCAAATGCCATTGATACCCTGGATATATCGATGAGCTAAAGTGGAGAAGGATCAGGATTAAGCAGACTTTTTAGGAAACTTAAATATATTTATTTTTTTTTTACTTTTTATTAATTATTTTATACAAATAATTTGTTCATTAATATAATTTGTTTAAAACAAATAAATGCAAAACAAACGAATTAAACGAATTTCTCTTATTGCACAAATGTAATTTTCTGGCATAATCATCAGTAATCACTTTATGCATTCTTTATTATTTATTTATTCACCAATTTAAGCTGTGGCTGACCGCGACTTAAATATTCAAAATTAAATTATTCACAAGGCCTAAACAGATATACAAAACTACAATAATTGACAGAATATGCCCATGTCGGCCATACCCCAATCGCATTTTAGCTTGGTTTATTGGCTCTTGCCTTCTGCCTTTTAGTTTTAATTAAAAAGCAAATTGCATTAAAACGTCAATTTGCTGAGAGAGAGTGAGAAACAGCAACGAGAGGGCAAGCAATGCTCAAATGGCAGCAAAATTAAAAGTCAAATGTTGGCCAGATGTCAAAATCAATTGAACACCTCCGGTCCTGCCAATTGAATTTGTTTCCATGAGAAGGAAATCCTCTCTCGGGCTGAGATTTCAACTCCTTACATCTTCAATCTCTTTACAATCGTTTTCTTTTATTTTTGCCATTTTTTTCTGAATATTTCTTCATTTTTTTGCCGCTTCAGGTCGAGCTGTTGTGTCCTTTAAATGCTGTCGATCCAATTAACTACGTACAACAGCGGGAAAAGGCCAGAAAAAGGCAACTGAAGGAGCACCAAAGGTCCAAGGATGAGGACGACTACTACGGTGATGAAGAGGAGCAGGAGGAGGATGAGGAGCAGGCGGACCAGGAGGACCTGCCGGAGAATGCACAGTTATGGGATACGGTCGCCTTGGAGCCAATCGATCAGGAATTCCTGCAATCACATCAGATACAAATCGAGAATAAATTCATTGCCGTCGAATGGATACTGAAATGTGAATGCAGCACGAATGTGAGTAGCCAGCCAGGGGTTTTGTAGGGGTAGGGGTACGTCCTTGTTCCTTGGCTTTTGTTCTTGCAGCAGCATCAGCACCCTTAAACGTTGTCATATTACACTGGCCAACCGTATTCGCATGCCATTTCAGGCAATCATTCGGCCGTGTCCCAACCTCACAATCATTTTCTCCTCAGGATTTTCCAGAGTATTTCCCCCCATCTTCCCCTTCCCCCTTGCCTTGTAGCAGATGCACGAAAATTGCTTTCACTTGTCATTTTAATCGCATCTTTTGTTGTTGTAAATGTGCTGGGAAGGTAAGGATACCCCTTAAGGGGTGAAAGTTGTGGGTATGATGGGTTTTTCAGGAAGAAGACCCTACAGTTTGTTCCCAGAAAATTTTTAAAGTTGTAAAAGTGAAATAATTTTAAATGGTACCAAAAAGTTTGTCACCTTACTTTTATTTAGAAGTATTTATTTATTATACATTTTTATCCCTAAAATTGTCTAAACCTAAGTAACACCTAGCTTTCATTTCTACCTTTCAATTTCCTACAACTCTGGCTAGTCTCCCTCTATGCACAAATGTGTTTTTTTGTTTTCCGAAAAAAAAAGAAAGAAAAAAATTATTGCTGCATTTATTTTCTCAGTTTTTTTTACAAGGTTTTTTTTGTGCGAATAAATGGCGAATGGGTGGAGGCGGAGCTTTCGCTGTTAGGTTCGGCTGCTGCGCCCATCTGTCTGTTGTGTTTTTCCCATTATTTTGGCGAATTCATCTTGAATGCCTCTGCCTTCGCTGTGCAATTGCAATGATTGGATTTTTATGAATACATTCATCAAAGGAGCGTTGGCTGTGCCACTGCGCCATCGGCAAACCGAATGAAAACATTTTGTACTCGGTTTATGTGTGTGTCTGTGTGTGGGGCCCAAAGTGATACCTTTTGTTTTGTTCTGTGTCCTTTATCAGGACTCTGAATGGTTTCGCCAAATGGAGTTTGCTACAATGACAGTCGAATGCCAAAAAGTTTTCCACTCTTGTAACTGAAATTTGATGGCCTAAATGGGCCTAAGCGATCGAGCTGTTCAAGTATTGTCAAAGTTATAGGATTGTTTATATTATTCTTACAAAAAAAGATTATATACCTTTGGAGTTTGTCAAAAAATACATAAAATATTTAATCATAATTTTTATACAAGAATTTTTTTGACAAATCAAAGCTTAAAATTAACATAATTAAGCCAAAAAATCATCAAATTCAATTCGGAAAGCTTTTCTGTGCTAGTTTTTTCTAGGTTAACAAATCTGCATACTAAACTTTGAATTTTAAGAAATTCAAATTTTTGGTCATTTTTGAGAATTTTAATGATGTAACCCCTTATGAAATTTTTGAAAAAATGGTTTAATTAAAAAAATTTTTTTTTTCTTTGGGACATGGCTAGATCGACTCAGCTGTTAATGCTGATCAAGAATATATATGATTTATAGGGTCGGAAATGACTTTTTAAATACGTAACCAGCTTCTAATAAAAAATAATATCCTAAAAGGATATAAATAGGCCATTCTTATAAATCTATGCAAATTATAAATTTAAAAATTTTTTGAATACATTTTCTGAATTATTTAAGCATATGTTTAATTATGATAAAAAAAGTTAAATAAATATAAATTAATTTTTATAAATTGATCAATTCATTTTTAAAAATTATTAAATTAATTTTAATGAATTAATAAATGAATTCTAATATATTAATTTTAATAAATTTAAAAATTAATGTTTAAAAATTATTAAATAAATTTTAATAAACTTATAAATTAATATTAATAAACTAATTAAATTGTAATAAATTAATTTTAATCGCATTCACTTAGTTGGATTTATGCTAAATTAAAATACAAATTCAAGAGCTCTAAGTTTCTTATACCGTATGTCAAGAGAGAAATGTCAGCTACAGAAATATCGTAATAAGAGAAAGTTCCCCTCTCTTTTCTTTAATAGTTTTACGGCTTGCCTTTGCTCTCTCTCTCTCTCTCTCTCTCTCTCCTATGGACTGTTTCTCTTTACGGTCTAATAAAAATTACTGATAATGAAGTGAGCACCGCTTTATTCTCTGCTTAAATGCATTGACATAATACCTAGAAAAGTAAATATAATACAAAATTGGCAAGGCAACAATGTGCTTATCAGAAAGTTGGATCTTATCGGGTTAAACCATAAACATAGAAGGACAGAGCAAGAAACTACTACAAAGAAATATTATAAAGAGCGAAAAATTAAAGACTGCCTCGACTGTGAGTAAGAGAAACCCAAATTAGTTGACTCTCAAACGTTGATGGTGAAAGACGGCGGGCGGTCTGTCCATTTTAAAATAAATTAAATATTTTAAGCAAATAATTAAAATTAACATGAGTGCCACATCTCTACGCCTGCTTAGTAAAACCAAACAAAACGCTCGGATTGTGATAATTGGAGCAGGATCAGCTGGCATTGCAGCTGGCACGCGACTCCTGGAACAGGGCTTCAAGAATGTACTGCTCCTGGAGGCCGAGGATCGCATTGGTGGCCGTATCCACACCATACCCTTCGGCGACAATGTCGTCGATTTGGGCGGCCAATGGTGTCACGGCGAGAAGGGTAACGTGGTCTACGAAACCGTCAAGGATTTGGATCTCCTAGAGGCCACAGAAGATCACTACGAGACCTTTAAGTGCGTGCGTTCCAACAAGGAAGTGCTGCCCGACCATATAGCGGATCAGCTGAAGGATATAGCTTTCAAGTCCATACCGGACAGGCAAACGGAGCTCCTGGACTTTACGGGCACTCTGGGTGATTATTGTAACCAGAAATTCTGGAAGGAACTGGCCAAGCTGCCGCCCATTGATCTCACCATTGCCAAGGAGTTTCTGGAAATCTTTCACAAATTCGAGGCCTCCGTAGAGGCGGCGGATCACCTGTACGAGGTCTCCGCGAAAGGTCACCTGGATTACTGGCTGTGCGAGGGTGAACTTTTGCTCAACTGGCGGGACAAGGGCTACAAGAGTTTCCTGCGATTGCTCATGAAGGCTAGAGAGGATCATCCCGAGGATCTGGGTGTCCTCAAGGGACGTGTGCTGCTCAACAGAAGAGTTTCCCAGATTAATTGGTTGGCAGAAGATGAGGTAATCATCAGCTGCTGCAATGGGCAGGTCATCACGGCAGATCATGTCATCTGCACCGTCTCCCTGGGAGTTCTCAAGGAGCAGCATAAGCAGCTCTTTATGCCAGGTCTTCCCTTGGCCAAAGTGCGAGCGATAGAAGGACTCAAACTCGGCACCGTGGACAAGTTTTTTCTGGAGTTTGAACATCCACCGCTGCCCAGTGACTGGCCAGCCTTCAACTGTCTCTGGCTGAGGGAGGATCTGGATGAACTCCGCGCCTCCGAACTCTTTTGGCTGGAGAGTGTCTTTGGCTTCTATCCCGTGTCCAAGCAGCCAAGGATCCTGCAGGGCTGGATAATCGGACCGCATGCCCGGCACATGGAAACGCTCACGGAGGAGAAAGTGCTGGAGGGTTTGCTCTGGCTCTTCCGCAAGTTCCTGCCCTTCGAGATGCCGCATCCCAAGCGGATGCTGAGGACTCAATGGCATGCGAATCAAAACTTCCGGGGCAGCTACACCTTCCGGTCCACGTACACGGACGAGCTGCGAACGGGAGCGTGGGACTTGGAGGCCCCACTGCTGGATGTGGGCGGCAGGCCGAGACTCCAGTTCGCGGGCGAGTCTTCCCACAAGCACTATTATTCCACAGTTCACGGTGCCGTGGAGACGGGTTTCCGCGAGGCCAATAGACTGAATACCTACTACAGGTCGCGGACAGCACAGCTGTGAGAAGGGAAGTGGGGTTGGGTCATCCCCAGGAGGAGTTATCCTTGAGTGAATCCCTAAAATCGAGCAAAGAAGCTGGAGAACCTATGATTTATTTTGCTTAAGATGAGATTTTACAATCACTTACAACTTGGACAGGTATTAAAGTAAAAATGGATTGAAAAAAACTGTGTAGTATTTATTGAAAGCTAACTTATACATTTCTTGAATAGCTCAAATATAAATATTACAGATATATTTTATACAAATTTGTTTGTATAATAAATTGTAAATATAGAAAATTATAAACAATAACTCAAGCATTAAGAGGCTGTGTTATTTATAAATAATAAAGAAATATGTATAATAATTGTAAAGCCTTTTCTTAATTAATAAATTTCTTTATAAAATTATGTCTAATTTTTTCGCATAAGCATAGTTGTTATTGTTACCCTTACAGGATATTATAATTTCAGTCAGATGCTTCAAATGCAGGCAAGGAATCATTTCCGACCCTATAAATCATATATATTCTTCATCAGCATTAACAGCTGAGTCGATCTAGCTATGTTCAAAACAAAACAAATTTTCAAAAATTTTTGGGATTTTTTGAAAATTTGATAAGGGGTTACATCATGAAAAATCTCAAAAATTGCCTAAAATTTTAATGATTTAAAATTTAAAATTTAGTATGCAGAATTGTTAACCTAAAAAAAACTAACATAAAAAATCTTATCGAATTGAATTTGAAGCCTTTTGTGCTTAGTTATGCTGTTTTTAAGCTTTGATTTCTCCAAAAAATAATCATATAAATTACAGAAAAATATTGATACAATTCTGCCTTTACAAATTACAAAATAAGTCTTTCCGAAGTTAGCTTTCCTTAGTTAGTTGACTTTAGTTACATATCTTATCAGCGGACAGTTCTTGGGGGTTCTTAAACCCACCATCTATGGCTTTAAGATTCCTGGAATAAAATCTATAATCTAATCAATAGGTCTACAATTTTTTACAATCCTTCGTAGTGTATATTAATGTCTAAGATTAGATAAAAGCAGTAGATCGTGGGATATAATTATAAAACTGCCAAAAAAAAATTACATAACTTAATGCCTAAAATAAACCTTTCTTAAAAATGTTATATATTTTTGCTATGTATTTTGCTGATACCCTACCCTTTAACCCCTCAACACCAATTTCTAAATCGTAAAATAAACATTAAATTCGACTGGCAATGAAAATCATCCACCAACAAGTTCGTTTCTATTTTATAGCCAATTTTAATGTCTCTACCCAGACACAACATATCAGTTTCCACATTTATTCTTTGTTTATCTGTAAAGCAACTGAGCAGCAGTAAAGCCTCCAATGTAACCATAGATAGATCTTTAAATTTCAAGCCCTAGCAGTTGCTATAAAAAAATAGTATATATAGAAGACTAAGCCAAATAAAAGCCAAACATGTTGACCAACTCATTTACAACGAGCCGGGCAAACAACATTGTAATTGCGCCTGTTTTTCGGGGCAACATTTTCGGCAAACACACTCGAAATTCGGAAAAAAGGGGCTGGCCTATGGGGTGAGGGGGCGTGGTCAGTGACGGCTCACACATGCAAAAGTTTGCAGATTACGTGCGGAATAGATATATACGTAGAGTCAGAAATCAGTTTAGCACATTGCGACTATCTCTGGTGCTGGGGAAAAACGCAGGCCAGGCCAAAGGCCAACCAGACCAAGGATGGTCACAAAAACCACAGCGGGACAACAGGATGGAGGAGCAGCAGGAGCAGGAGCACTAGGAACACTGGCCATGTGATTCCCCTGCAAAATGCTGTGTCTCATCCAACAATTGCCGGGGCGGCGGCTTCACAGAGCAGCACTTTGCCTGGCCATGTTGAAAATTCAAATTTATGCCAAGCCGGGGCCAGAACATTCAAAATTTCCTTTGGCTCCGATGTGAGCTCCTGTTTTATCCTTCTGGTGCACTCTTATGCACTGTGAGAAGTGGTTTTAGAAGTCTGAATAATTTTTTGTTGATTGAAAACCATGTACAAATTTTAAAAGAATTGTTAAAGATTTTAAAAGGATCTACATTTAATTGTAAAGAGCCTTAACGTCCTTTTAAATTATATTGTATAATCTTATCTATATACAATCTCACTAGGTTTGTCCTGTAAATTCAGAAATTCAATATTTAAAATTATAAACTATAAAGATTATAATTCATCCCTTATATATATTTTTATACTGTATATTTTTATATATTTTTATATTGTTAATTTTTTTCTATAGTTTTATATTTATATTTTTCCCTCAGTGTTTGCTGTCTGCCTTTGTGTGTTTGCATTTGTTTGTTTGTTTGCATGTCGCCCTGGTGGTCGTAGTCGTATCTGCTTTTAGTTCATCTGCTCCTGGCTCATCCTTTTTGTCCTCAACCACACCAGCTAGCAATTACATATGCGACTTTGTCGCCCTTCCAGTCGAAGGCGGGCTTGGTCCCGACTACAAGTTGGTCACATCTGTTGTAGCTTTGCAGCTGAACGTGTCCACATACCAGTGTTCCTATATCCCTAACCCGATCTCCATACCAATCCCTTTACCAGTCCTCCAGCCAATCCTCCTAGCAATCCTCCTAGCAATCCCCCTACCAATCCTCCTAGCAATCCCTTGGTTAATGCGCTGCAGGAGCGACAGTCGTTAGACCCTTCATTGCCATCGGTGTCTAGCCAGCCGGATGTGTGGTTTTTGATAGCCCAATGCATTTGGGAAAAATGTGTTAAATAAAATAAAATAAATTTAATAGAGTAAATGTAAGATTTCTATATTTAAAAAATATATTTTTAAATTATTTAAAATATAAGTCAATATATAATATAAGCCCTAGTATAGAATTTCATTAAATTTTCCCCTCAGTGCAGCCATTCTCATCCACGTGCTCGTGTGACTCCTCGAGTGACAATGTTAAACAAGTCTCTGTTTGACCAAAGGACACACACATTTGCCTAGCCAATGTCCTGTCCTGTCCTGTCCTATTCTTGTCCTGTCCTATTCCTGTTCCTGTTCCTGTTCCGTCTTTGCCGGGACTTATGTTATGGTCCAGGTAATGGTTGTTATGACTGGCAAAGTATTTCTCTGTGTTTGCTGGTTGCACGGCATGGAAATCGTAGAGGGGGATCGGGGTTACTCTAACTGGATGCTGAGTGGCTGACAGTTGGAGTCGGCAATCCTGCTGACATGGCCCAGAGTGAAGGAGAAGCATTTGGCTTAATTGTACAACTAACTCACTGGCGCCGGGATTAAATGGGTTCAGTTAGGGGCTTCCTTTATGCAAAGGCACGCTGGCAGGCTTTGCCTTTTTGAGAGGATTAAATTCCGTGAAATTGTAGTTCTGTTACTCTCAGGTGTTTTATTTACTTGAAGGGATTACAGAATTGGGTGCTAAATTGGTTAGTTATGGAAAAGGCAACCAGTTTGTATTTGTTTAGAAAATGTAGACCTGGTTTATATAACATGGCGGTAATATTTGCATTTTTATATACCGATAAAATTTCTTTTTCAAATAAAAGACTTAGTTTTGTGGCCAGATTTTAGAAGATATATATTTAAAAATTTATAAAATATAACAAGAGAATATTAAAACAGATATTTAAGATTTAAAATAAGTTGTAACAAGTTTAAAAAAGTTGAGGATTTAAAAAATATAGCTGAGAATTTAAGACAGCATTTTAAATTAATTTTTTTATATATGTAAGGATTTTTATATATTTTTTAAATGCAATTTTTTTGCTCACTTTTCCAATAAGTTAAATTTTCAGGATTTAATTCTGAGCCTTGGCCTTGTAGAAATCCACAAGACGCTCTGCCTCTCGCCATCCTGACTCAGTGGCTCCATGGACCGTAGACCAATGATTCCCACTGGTGGCCTCACCGGCAAACTGCACTCTTGGTCTGCCATTTGTCACATCCACCAAAGGTGAAGCTAGATCCGTGCGTCCTGTCCGCAGATCATCGGCATAAGTGGGATAGAAACTATAGCTACCACGGAAGTTGGGATTAGAATGCCATTGCGTGCGGATGAAGTGCTTCGGCCGGGGCACATCGAAGGTGAAGAACTTTCGGAAAAGCCACAAGAGACCCTCCAGGACCTTCTCCTCTCCCAGAGTCTCCATATACCGGGCATGGGCACCAATAATCCAACCCTCCAGCAAAGTGGGCTGCCTGTCCACGCGATGGAAGCTACAGACGCTCTCCAGTCAGAAGAATTCCGAGCCACGCAGCTCCAGGAGATCAGCCTCCAGCCAGAGTATGGCCACATTATTCAAATTCTCCGGGAACGGATGCTTCTCAAACTCCATTATGAACTTGTTGACGGTGCCCAGCTTGAGTCCCTCAATGGCTCGCACTTTGGCCAAGGGAAGATCTGGAACAAATAGCTTCTCATGCTTCTCCTTGAGGACACCCAGGGAGACGGTGCAGATTACATGATCCGCTGTGACAATCTCTCCATTCCAGCAGCGTAGAGTCAACTCACCGTTGCCCTTCCAATTAATCTCGGCTATTCTCCTGTTGAGATGAACATGACCCTGGAGGCAGCCCTGATCCCCTGGCTGATCCTCTTTGGCCTCGAGCAGGAGACTCAGGAAATACCAGAATCCCTTTCGTCGCCAGCTGAGATTTTGATCGCCGTCGGCAAGGTGAAAGTTCCTATAGTTCCTGGGCGAGAGCTCGAACAGATGATCGCAGGCATCCGCGCTGCAGATGTGCTTCATCATGGCACTCAGCGCCTCCTTAGCTATGGTTCGATCTAGGTCCTTTCCCACCGTGTTCCAGTAGTGGTTGGTGAAGCTATCACCCACGGATCCTTCCCAATCCGCGTTCACCTCGAAGGCGTCCACGAATTCCTTGAGAGGGTTGGTCTGTTTCTCGTCCAGAATCTCCTTGTTGGAGCGCACAAAGTGTAGGGACTGATCGGCGGTTCTGTCTAGGACATCCAGGTCCTTAACTCTCTCGAAGACCACATTGCCCTGCTCGCCGTGACACCACTGGGCACCCAGATCGATGAAGCTATCAGCAAAGGGCACAGTTTTGATTCTGCCACCAATGCGATCCTCCGCTTCGTAAAGCTGGACATTGCGAAATCCTTGCTCTAGGAGTTTGGTGGCAGCAGCAATACCAGAGGGACCAGCGCCGATAATTACAATCCTGGCGGTCTCCTTGGTTTTCGAGAAAACATTTCCGAGTGCACAAGAAGTCATTGTTATGTTTTTTATGGAAGAGAACTAATAGCTCGTTTGCAGAAATGCAAATTGTGTTGAAAGTCAAAGAACTGCTGGCTTTTATAATGCAAATTTAGTGCCAAAGTAGTTCAAGGTTCTTTATGCTTAATATTATCTATTTTTGACCTTAATTTCTTGTTCCTGTTTAAGCAAAAAGCTAATATTTGTACTAAGCTGATATGAGCTCTCAATGACCTTGCAATTTTGCTTTTTTTTAATACTATAAAATTGCAAATTATTGTCTTGACTATCTACTTTTCCTTACAACAGAAATCAGCTTTGTTTATATTTTATTTTGCACTCGTTACATGATTTTTCAAGTGCATCTTGAGGTTTTTGTGGTACCCCAAACCTTATCTACTTGACAAGCAAACAAAAAAAAAAAAAAGAAAACACTTGACTAAATCGTTCGAGACAAATAATCTATAAACTATGGCGATAACTGGTTATCAATACAGTAGATATGCCTTAAAATGAACTAGAAAATAGTAGCTTTAAACTAAAAAATGCAAGAAATTAATTTTATATTTTATTATATTTTTTTAGCTACAAAAACTAGAACAAAGTTAATTGATATTCCTTTAAATAAATATTTTTCAGTGGTTACATGGTTTTATATATAAATATCGAACAAATTATTACGGGTTGGAAATATATTATTACTATTTTTTGTATTATTAAATATTATTCCCAGCAATGACCCTCTCAGCAAGCTCCAACTTTTAGTCTGAAAAACATTCCCTTAACCCAAGAATTTAATTACACATTCCCGAAAAATATTTCTATAGCTGATTTTATCTTAAATTTTCATATGGCTTTGCAATTTTCTTTTTGGCTTACAGCATTGCAACCAAAACAAGGCCAACAACAGCAGCAACAGCAACGCCAACGACAACATGTCTAACACAAATAAATATGGTTATTACAATTTCGAAAACACTCACCATGGCGGCCGGAACCACGAAATTAATGGCGAACCAAATGAGCCAAAAAACAACGAAGAGGAGGATGTGGCTGCGGCTGTGCCAGACAGCAAGAACAACATGAACAGCGACCGCAACGAGGTGGACAACTCGTCCTCGGAACAACAACCGGATATTATACCATATCCTTTGGGCGTGGGCGAGTCCAGTTGGAAGGCCGAAAAGCTTCGGGAGCAGCAGCGCTACCAGCAGGAGCAACATCAACACCGCTGGCAGCAACTCACATAGCGCAAAGGCACCAACAACATGGCCCAATAATACAATACACTGGCTCTGATCTGATCCAGAGAGGATATCTAGGAAGGCGTAGACTCTAAGATTTGTACAGCATAGCGATACTTAAGGTTCCCCTGGATGGTTAGGATTGTAAAGGAAAAATAAGCGTCGGTTTAGGATTTGAACATATCGAGGCAGTAAGTTTAGGTATGTGAACGATATAATAGGGTTAGGATTAAACCAAGGGCGTAAGGAACAAAAAAAAAAGAAGAAAAACTGCGAGTGGAACACAAGCCGAATATTACAAATATTTTTGCAAGCATCTATACACAAAAACGCGAAAAAAAAAATATATATATTGAGGTAAAAATAAAACGCTAATGAAGGAATTTTCAGAAAAACATTTGAATGAGAAATGCTGCCCAATAATAACGTATATATATATGGTAAAAATATAACTGGCCGATTAAATTAGAGCTTCGGAAATATAGTGGAAAGGGAATATAAGTTCTAGGTAGGTTTTTGGCTGAGTGAATAGGAATCTGTTTTTGGTTATTTCATCTTCAGGGTATTTTTAGTTTATGTTAAGTTCTTAAATTAATTTTTCCCTGAAGTTTATAAAGAAAAATTGTATTTTTTATTAATCATCTAGGATTTTTACCTGTAACATTTTTTTTTTAATCATAATTAACCTCTGAGAAATTATAAATATTTAAAGCTATAATGTAGAGTCATAACGGCCTTTGTAATTATATTTCTAGAGCTTAAATTATATTATTTAATTATATTTTAAATTTCTTTTATATTTTTCAAACCATTTTTGTGTTCCATACAGGCAAAACCCTCTAAGAATTTATACTCCCCTTGCATTATATTTTTTGATATTGGCTAGCTTAATTTTAAAAATAACTTAGATGTAAACCGGCTTAAAAAAACAATGCAAAAAAGCAAATGCTAAATGAATTCGTGTGCATTCAAGTTATAACTGTGCTATATACTCACTTGTATTCAGATCTACACGTACACATACGTATGGGACTCTGCTTGAGGACCTAAGCTAAGCTTGCTAAAGAATAATAATAATTTCGTTGAACCAAACCTTAAACCCAGACATATCCCCAAAGAAACAAATATCCCAAACGAGTTCTCTGATTTTAGGCCACGTAACGAGCGAAGCTTAGCCACCACCCATATCAATTGTATATCAATGTAAGACAACTCTTAGCTAGCGTCAGAGTTATATTCGTGTGAGCAGGCGAAGTTCAAGTAAATAAAATGCGAATATATAAGAGAAATCTACGAGTTGTTTGTTTAAAAAATTGTTAAAAGAATATTTACAAAACGGGGGGAATTTAAGGAAGTCTCTTAGTATTATGTGAAGGTAAGTAGGTGTATTTAATGGAGTCTTAATTAAAAAAATTGGTTTTACTTTAATCAAAAATAAAAATAAATAGAAAACAAATTAATAACTACAATTTATAATAAATAAATTTATAAATTTAGTAGTTTTTTATCTGGAATTTCATATTTATAATAACATATTTTCATTAGAACATTTTTTAAAGAAATTAAATGCGAATGACAGCTATTACCTTCCATGGCTGACCAACACCATTTCATCGGGAATTTGTTTGGGATTTCCGTGTGAGTGTGTTTGTGATTTACACAATTTATTTAGCCCGTGAAAATGTGTCACTCGGCGTCGCCGGATGTGTCAATAGGCCGCACATTTGTTAGCGCCTCTGTAACACTCATCCACTCCAGCACCCCACAAAATGGCGGCCAACGCATTTCCGTTTTAACACACTAAAAAGCCGCGAACCCACGTGAACTACACACTACGCACATATAGGACGCATATTCTGGGCGGCTTTTATTAGTAATTTATGGGCCACGTTGAATCCAGGATTCGCAAACGCGGCTCGTTCTTTGGTTCGGTTTGGTTTCGTTTGGTTTTTTATGCATCCGCGCGCGCCCTCAACACCACATTAAATGTGCACGACATCAAATTGATGAGGCTGCCAGGGTCTCTGGCCAAATGTAATGCTACAGAGGTGACGGATTAGCCATTTTCAGAGGGGCTTAAAGGGAGGAAATTCTTAAGGTTACTACTAATTTGTGGGCTTTCAAAATGTTTAAAAAATATTAGAAAAATCTTAAATACCTAAACTCTTATTCTTAAGCTTAGTTACCATTTAATTTGTACTTTTATGATTTATTTCTCACAGAAAATCTCTGGAAACTTGAAGTAAACATTAATTTCTTTTAAGAAGAATCTCTTAGCATATTCTTATACCCAATTTTCCAATATAGTATTTTTTTAGTTTGATTTCTGTTTAGTTTTCTTTGGCAACACTATCGTCCTCGCACATGTCCTGGCTCTTGGCCATGCCATCAATTTTATGGGCGCACATACATGTCAGCAGGGGCCAAAACCTGGCTGCATCCACTCGTGCTGGCCCCATAAAATTCCAGCCAGCTCATTACGGCTGGCAACGGAATCAAAATCGAACGAGTCCTGGCTGCTTCCTCCTCCTGGCACTAAACAGTGGCACGTAAAATTGAAACATTTGCCACAGTTTCGAGCTCAAAGGAGCTATGTACGTACCGATGGAGTGACGAACGGTTTTAGGGGTGCCTCAACGACCATATAGCGCATATTCATTAAAATTTCGCATCCACTCGACGACGCACAGCCAAAGGCAATAAGAGATTTATGCGGGGCCGACGAAGGAGCCTTGGAGTGCACTCTATGTCCTGCGTGGGAGATGGCAGCGTGACTGGAAATTAAGGATTATGGTAACGAGAATTGGGAGCTATGGGAACTAGCTTTTTCTGGAATAATTATCCATGAGCACCTCTCACGCAGCCTCATTAGGATTAGGCAAGGACCCTGGTCTCCTTCTAAAAACATAAATTGCATGCACTCTTCTTTTTGGCTACGACCAAAACGGGTTCTTTATTGCTTTCGTTAGGCAGGAGAGCCTTTCGACTTTATCCTTTAACCAGTTTGAGGCCGCGACACAGTCAGAATCTCATCGGGTTGGTTGGGGTCTTAGGTCTAACTAAAGACTAATCCATAACAATTAGCTTACAACGATATCTGGGGGGCGATACAATATTGGATAGATACTGGATGTGGGCATGGACATGGCTTCGGGGCTAATGATGAGAATGCAGTTTGAGGAGGTGAAAGGGAGGACCGACTAGCGCCTGAGGACAGAGATCACGACCAGGAGCGCCGCCGCCACCCGTGCTAGTCAATCGATCTGCTGCAATGAGGCCACCCCATTGGAGGCCTCCTCGTTGACATCGGCAATGAACTGATCCCACTTCACCTGCCACTTCTCCAAAGCCTCGAACTGATCATCTCCCGTCAGGGAACTGTACTGTATCGAGTTGAGGGCCAACTTCTTGAGAAGCCTCAAGTCCGAGTGCTGCGAGGCAATGCCCAGGAAGGCAATGTAAAAGTCATGGCTCAAGGGTGTGGCCTTCCAGAAGGATGGATCATCCGAAGAGATCACCACTGGATAACCATCGGCAAAGTAGTGGGAGCAGGGATGGTTCCGGAAGTCCGTGACCAGCTGGAGCACCTGATTCGAGATTGGGTTGACCTCAATGGCCACATTCAGCTTCTTCAGCATGTCCAGCACCACCGGATGCTTGACCAGACCAAAGCCATGGCCAATTCTCTTGGTTCCCAGCAAAATGGCATCGATCAGGTTCTCATCGACGCTGGAACCAAACCAGTTGGTCTCGCCGGCATGGAAATAGAAATCAATGTCCTCTGGCACCTCCAGCAGCTCGTCAATGTAATCTTTTAGGGGACGACCCAGCTCTTCCTGGCCCACCAAATCGAAGCCGGCCACAAAGTCGGGGTATTTGCCCTGTTGTTAAACGAAATCCTTAAGATACTTGTCTTGAGAAGGTTTTTAGGTAAGCTCTCACCTGGATTTCCTTCAGGGTTTCAATATACGAAGTCATTCCCTGGGAGTTTGTATTGCGAAGTGGAGCATAGATCATCCGGGAGCCAATGAAATCGGGATGAGCCTCCTTGAACTTCTCCAAGGTCTCCACATAAATGCGAACGGTGTCCATGGGAGTGTATTCAGTGCCATCAATGTCGTAGAGCTGCAGGAGATTTAAAATTTAATAAGAAAATATAAAAATAATGCCAACTTGAAAAGCCTTAAAGTTTGCCCAATGCTTTAAATATTTATCCATAATTTTTAAAAATATCAAAGAGAAACCACTCACCGTTGGCACCAGAGAACGGAACTCCAGATACAAGACTCCATCCTCATAGAACTCCTCCAAGGCGCTGTAGTAGTAATCCGCCCAAACGGGGGCGTACATCACCAGCCCATCGAGTAGTTCAAAGATGGTCATAAAGGTAGACCAGGCAGCGTTGTTGTCCTCAAACTTCTTGGTGGGATACAGGGTAAGACGCTCCTCCAGATACTCATCGACCTTCTCGGCTGTGTACTTCGTTCGCAAGTCCGCAAGCAAACTCCACTGGCAGTCCTGATTAGCCTCTGGCGCCTCTTTGGCAAACCTGAGAGCCGAAATGCCCAAATCTCCATTCTGCTGGCAGGCATAGAGATTATCCTTGTAGGTCAGCTTAATAATGGCCTTGGTGCTGCACAGAGCCGTGTCATGAGCATGGAGCACAGCTCCCTTGGGCATCTTCCTCAGCAGCTGGAACAGATCGGTCTTCTGAATGCCCTCCAAGACATCGAAGATGTGCTGAGAGGGATTGAAGAGATGTGGGGTGATCAGACCCTCCTCGTACTCATAGATCTTAGCCTTCATGATCGTCTCATTGGCCTTGATTTCCCGCGGGGTCAGCTCCAGGTCATGGCCCAAAGAGCGTGACTCCTCGTACCGGAAAAAGGCGCTCCTCAACGTCTTGTAGGTGTCCGGAGTGGGACGTCCGGGTCCGAGCAAAGCCTCCACATGCGGTGTGCTGCCATAGATTGTGACCAATTTCTTATCCACCAGATTCTTGGGACGCGTGCGCGATTCTACCAGACTCGGTCCAAGGCAGAGGCAGACGCACAGGCCCACAGTGAGGCCGGCGATAAGATTAGGGAGCAGCAGCATGACGACGACGATGGTTAGTTCTCCGAGGTGACAGGTCCGATCGCAACAAGGTTCGCACGACGACTGACGTCTGCGGCGATTGAGGAGCTCCGATTTGGGCTTTGTCGCTATTCGAATATTATCTGAAACGATTGTGTGGGATTCGTTGGGACATTATCTTTGATTTAACGCGTGTTCCCGAGCCGATAATTGCGCGTGGATGACCCACGGGTTGGAGTTGCCAACCCGCTGCCGCCGCCAGCCCTCAGGCAGCTAATCGGAGTCAATCGCTGGGCAATCTGGCATCTTGATTTACGAGTTGCCTACTCCCAGATTAGATTACTTAACCCTGGCCATAAGCATGGCCAGATCCACGCTTTCATTGCCACTTTTCGAGTGGTGGAGCACTTTATAGTGCACTCTTAATAGCCGGAAAGCAGTAGAAAGCATTCCGGAGTGTGTGGAATACCATATTTTTTAAAAAGAAGAGATTAAAAAGGTATAAAAAATTAGGTTCCTTTTCCCGGAATTTAATATAAAAAACCGAAAATCATTATTCCCTGGAAACCGAGAGTTCAGCGATTTAATTTCCATAAAGATTATATTAAAACTTGTATTACCTTTAAGATTTTAATCTTTATGGAATCTTTAAAACCCAAAAATATATTTCAAGACATCTCTTTGTCTACGCCCCGAGCTTATTTTTTATTTTTACCAAATTTTTCCTACACTCCACACTAGATATTTTCACTTCTTCCCTTCAGACTCTCTTCCTAGGTATTGGGTACTGTTCAAAAAGTTCTTGATCCACCGATTCCAGTTGCATTTCCACTTGTCCATGGCCCTCGTCTTCTCCAGCCCATTGAGAGCGCTATGAAGCAGGGAATTCTTGGCCAGCTGCTTGAGCAGGCGTAAATTACCATTGCCCCCAACCATGCCCACAAAGGCCACATAAAAATCATCGGTCAAAGGGGCGGCATTCCAGAAATACGGATAATCCGAACCAATCACAATGGGAAAGCCGGCGGCTATGAGATACGCAGCCGGATGATTCCGAAAATCATTGACATACTCCAGATAATGATTGGACAGAGGACACACCTCAACGGCCACGTTTAGGAAATGCAGACCCCGCATTACCTCCGAATGTAGAGGAACATTTAGCGAGTTGCCTATCCTCTTGCTGCCCAGCAGCATGGCATCGATGAGATTCACATCGGGTTGCATATTATCCTGGCAGCGTGAGTCTCCAGCATGGAAATAAAAGTCCACCTTTTTGAACAACTTTGAGAGCTGAGAAATGCGACTCAAAGGGGGCAGCTCACACTCATTGCCATGGGAGACGAGATCAAAGCCAGCCAGGAGTTGGGGAAAGTGTTTCTAACATTGGGGGAGAAGGATACTTAATTTAAGGATATTTCATAAAGGACTGATTACCTTTAGGAGTTGGGCATTGGCCACATAGCTGTCCATGCGACTGTCATTAAAGTCACGGGAAGGCGCATAGATCAGCTTAATGCCGATAAAATCCTTATAGGTGGACTGGAACAGATTGGACACGGTAACCATGGCCTCAGCCGAATCCAAAATGGTATAATCACTTCCCTCCATATCATACAGCTAGATGACGAGCGAGTGTTAGAATTTACCTAATTCCCATCAAATACCCACTCACAATTGGCAACGAGGAACGCATCTCCACATACTGCACTCCATCCTGATACAAATCCTGCAGCATGCCAAACAGGAAGTTACTCCAAAGCGGCTTGTAGGTGATCAGTCCATGGATGAGCCGCTGGGATCGCTTCAAGTGCCTTGCCAGCTTCCTGGATGTCGCGAAACCCTCCTGTGGAACACTGAGACTCTCCTTCAGCCTGGCCACAAATTTGGCAAGGGGTTCGTGCTCGTAGAAGTCCCTCATCAGCATCCACGAACACTGGTAATCGTCCGAGGGTAGGATATCCGGATACAATAAAGAAAAGCGAAAGTCCTCGAAGCCTTGATTCAGGTTCACGCAGACCCATAAGTTATCGCGTTGGGTCATTTGTATGAGCAAATCCGTTCCCAGGATGCCCGAGTCGTGGACATGGAGGAGACCGCCCTTGGGCATGCTTCTTAGCAAAGCATACAGATCAGTGTCGCTGATGTTTCGGTGTCCTAGAAACGGTGGCGGTCTGTTGTGATAGCTCTGCCATAGCCGATGCTCCTCCTCGTCCACCTGCTTGACGGCCAGCAGTCGAGCATTGGCCACCTCCTCCAGAGGGCTCAGTGTGATCCTTCCGCCCAGTCGCCGCTCACGCTCTCTTTGCAGATAAATTTCCCGCAGTTTGGTGATGTTATCCAAGGAGTCCGGACCCACCATTTCCTTGACAAAGAGTGAGGCCGTGCAAAAGAGCAGCACGAAAATGATGCACAGCATTAGGGCAAATCCCAGGTGAACCCATGCTCTGTTCATGTTCGTCTGCCGGCGACTCTCCTCCTCAGAGATCTCCGTCTCCAGGTTGATGATCCTCAATGGCGTCGGAGGAGGAGGAGAAGGAGAAGGCAAAGGAGTTGATGGAGATGTAAGTGCATTTCGGGTTGGCTCGCCCACGTTTGCCATAGCAACAATAAATTTTGCGATCGAAAGGAAATTTTTTAGTTTAATTTTTCTTTTCCTAAATAGGTATCATGCTTTCCCCCAAAAAAAACCTACGAACCTAAAGTGAATTTTTTCAAACTAGACTTATAAATCTTTGATAAATTTTATAAAATACTTTTAGAAGATGAAATTTGTGTTATGACTCTAAATAAAGTGGCTTCTTTTCATTGTCAAGTGTCATAATACCATAATCAAAAGAGGAAAACGCAATAAATAGTATTCCAAAATATAAACAATAGTTGTTTTTATATTTTTTAAATAAATCTTCAAATTTTTATAGTTTCCCAATTCCCATGACTCATATTTTAGTAATTATAAATCGAAAAAATGATTTATTTCTGAGGTTTCGGAGGGGTACAAAGATCGTCCTATCACAACGACATCTTTTTGTTTACGATGGTCAGATTATCGGTGAGCAACAAACAATAGTGATTTGTTTCCACCCAGATTTCTGTTTTTCTGTTATTTCTCAAAACCACTTGAAGTTTGGCCTCCCCGCCTACCACAAACTGTTAAATCGGAATATGTATTTCCAGGGTATATAGGAACAATATCTTCGCCTTGGCCTTGGCCACATGTGCTGGGGAGTTTTTATAAAAATAGCCCAAAAGTCTCTTTCTCTTTCTTTCATATTCTTTGTCTTCCGCACATCCAGCGATAATACGAATACTACTTATACTGCATTATCGCCCAAAGAGAGTGTTGAACCGAGCAACTCCCGCACCCTGAAACAGTGGAAGAGCTCTCTTTTTTTTTTCTCGGGCGGACAACTAGGGGTTGCACTTATTTTTAGAGCGAAATAGAGTCCACCACCAGTAGCGTTGTCACCAAGGGGGAGGTATGTGAGGTCAAACAGTGGTTAAGGAGTTTATTTTTATAAAAATAACTTGTAAATAAAGTGATTTTTTATATTTGTTATAAAAAAATTATGAAGAAATACCAAAAAACATCACAAATAATTTGTACTTGTTTTATCCTATAATTCCCAACTATTTATAGCACTGAAGTAGAGTTATTAAATTATAATAATAAATTAAAAGAGATAATAAATAATAAAATCGCAAAAAATTAATTAAAAATCTGAAGCTAAAAAATTAATAAAAATATATTGTTTCTTTTGTTCCCACAATTTCACTCTTTTACCACTGTGCCACCAGATCTGCGGTAATCAATGAAGTGACACACAGCCGACTGTGTGCGTTGCACTGCTGCCTGTTCTTGTAGTTGTACGCACTGCCAGCTGCGATTGCCTGCAACCGCCGAAGCCGACACTGATTCCGTTTCCCGGGGGTTCAGTATGCAGCCCAGACATCACCCACCGCCGTCACATGGCACGCGTTTCCTGCTCAGTCGAGCCTTTGCCGCAGATCGAGTGGGATGCGCTTCAGGACGACGGTTACCATTGGCCATCCACAGCCAGAGCCACCAAGGAATCTCAAGCTCAATCCAGCACTCGGATTCGGGCTCGAACTTCGATTGACAGCCTTGAACGATGACTGCCTGCTGCTGATTTGCGAACAGCTAAGCCTGGGAGACCAGCTGCGGCTGCTGCAGCTGCAGGAGGAGCGTCTCGGCCTCTTAGTGCTTCGCCTGTGGAGCTGCAAGTACTCCAAGCAATTCGATTGGAGCCGGGACAGGTGGCAATTGAAGCTGCTGAGTTCTGATGAGCGGTGCCAACTTTTGGAACTCCTAGGGAGTCGGACGAGAGCATTGCTCAATCTCCCAGGCGCCAGTGACGAGGGCTGCCGGAAGTGGCTTCAACAGAGGCAAAGCCAGCTTAGTCATCTTCAAAGACTTGGCTTTTCCAAAAGTGATACCTTAGTGATACAAACAGTAGCTAGGATGTGCCAGAACCTGGTTGAGCTAAAACTGGGTGAAGGAGAGCACTTAGTCAGCAGAGATTTGAATGTGTTATTTGGGCAACTCCAGAAACTGAGAGCCTTTGAGCTAAAGTCTATGAAAAATTGCGAGAAGGACAGCTCTCTGAGAAATGTAAGATAATCATTATACCCTAGGTTATATAATACTGATCATTATGGAAATACTTTCCCTCTTCCAGCTTCCCCCAAACCTGGAAACCCTTAAGCTGCCCGCCTGCCTCCTTAACTCCTACATTGCCAAGATCTTCCAATTGTCGCGCCTCCGGCTATTGACGGGCTTTCTGTGTCGGAGTTCAGGACATTCGGAAGATGATGATGGTGTTGGTGACAAAGCAAATGCCAGGAACTCTGGTACAGGAACTCTAAATGCTTGCCTCAGGGAACTTGGCACAGCTCGGCGGCATCACTGTCACATTGTGGGCCTCCGCTTGCAGTGTCGCCTAGATGACAGCCTGTCATCTACATCTACGTTCACGGATGTGCTCCGGCTGCGGTACTTTGCCTGGCACTCGCAGCTGACGGTGCACTGTGATGTCGCGGATGGTAGCATCAGGTGGCGGCCACAGCCACCGCAGGCGGTACTCTCCCTTCTGCCCTTCATTGCCTCACAGGAGCAGAGTCTGCGGGAATTGGATTTCACGCGTAACGCACATGCCACGCCCACATTCCTAGCACAGCTAAGCGCCCACTTGAGGCGATCCAATGGATGCCACAGCGTTTCCGTTTGGCATGACGCCTGCTCCACCCACACCCACTCACTTTCCCATTTCAGTTCCCATTCCCATTGCCCCAAAATGACGGATACGGATACGGCTGAGACAAACGATTTGGCGTTTGTCGAGCTGGAATTGCTGCATTTGCCTAATGAACAAACGGAAGTGGAAGTGGGCACCGGAGAGATGACGATGGCGATGAGGGATTACCATCCCGGCCAGGGATGATGACGATAATGGATGGCGCAAAGATTGCTGACGATAGTGGGTAGCCAAATAGCAAATTAAATTCATTTCCTGAAGAGCTTGAAATTCAATTTTCAACAAGAAAATATTGAAAATATATACAGATTTATTTTATAAACAATAAAAAAATATATATTTATATATAGTATTGGTATATGGATATTTTTTATATTTTAAAAGTAATAAAATATTTATATATTAAACTTTTACCAAAAATAAAAGCAACCTAGGATAGCTTGTATCCATCTGTCTGTGCATTCATCATATTATTTCCTCAAAATAAAATTTCCAAAACTGCCTTTTTTTTCCTATTTTCGATAATATGTTAGTACAGCTTTTTTAATGGTTAGTGCAATTGATATTTTGCATTGAACCTTTCCCTAGAACGTTAAATCTAAGTCATTAGCAACCCAAATTTTTAAAATTCCCGACTCAAGCTGTAACCAAATCTACTCGAGTTTCTGTAAGTAGAAAAGCAAAGAGATTCAAAAGATTTGAATATATAATAAGCAGGTGTTTCATCCACAATCCTTTTTTTTCGTGTGAATGGACTTTGCTAGAAACGTTATCTCACTGCCCGATGAGGTGGTCATTGCCCTAAGTCGTTTTCTGGCAAATCCTAAAATCTGCAAGAAACAAACCCCAGGAAAGTTATATCCGAAGGACAACGACGATAGCGACGAGCCAAGATCCATACACACTCAGTCCTCGATGCAAAGCAATACGCATAATTTTCAGAAAAGAGCCAGTTATGGATGCTCGACCAATGGTCAAGCCAGCAGACAGCAGCAGCCGTCAAGAAACCAGGGAAAGGTATAAATACTATATTATTATATAATATAATAATCATTATTTTTATATTTATTAAATGTTTTCCAGCTTGCGCCAAGCTGTAGCAAGAATAAGGAACGCGTGAGTACTTATTTTAGGTTTTTCAAGTCCCTGATTTTTTTAGAATTTCATCATAACTTCACAGAGTAACTACCACTCGCCACAATGCCCGATCGATTCATCGTTTCACCAAGAAGAGCCTTCGGTTTATCCATGCCAAGATCAAACACTTCGCCAGCAATTAATGCAGCTGAAACACTCTCTCTTGCCACAAGCTCCAGTCAATAGAGTTCAACAGTGTCCGCAGAGATCTGCCAGATCTCAAAGTGTTCCCAGGCCAAATGCCAATGAAACATGTAATAAATTTGAAAGATTCGATTGCCAGAGGGGCCTACCTGCAGTAAGTTGTGTTTATTTTGATTTATTACTCATTAAAAGTATTCACAAGAATGACTTTCAGGGACAGGATATCACAGGCCCAACGCGCGGTTGCTGTGCAGGCCCTAATGCGGTGAGTATATATAATAATATATTTATATATTATATATATTATATATATTTTTAAATAAATTTTAAATTAAATTAAATCTTCCTTTTTCTCCCAAGTGTGAGGGCGATGTACCCACCCGAAATGGTTGCAACTATGTCCCCGATAGAAACTCCCGAAGTAATGCCTCTAGCAATTGGCACAATAGCTCTCAGGATGGCAGTTATTATGACGAATGGCAAAGGCGTCAAATGGTGAGGCAGGGACATCCGCAGGATCAGCAACAGCAGCAGCAACTGCAACAGCAGCAGCAACATCAGCGTCAAAGTCAAACCCGCCAGCAACCTCCTAATGAATGCACTATGTCTTCATGGGAGGATGATGAAATCTCCGGATTTGTAAGTATTTTATAAAACAAATTAAAATATTTTATGGTACTTTAAATGAATCCCCTAGGAACCCTATTTGAATAGCACTATGATTGGCGAAGAGAAAAACAACCGAAATTCAACAAAAGTTGGTCAACAAAATCCAATACCAAGGCAATATTCATCCTGCAACAACAAGACTTGCGGCTCGAATAATGTAAGTTATTATAATAACATAATACATTTTTTTATTCAAGGGAATTTCCATGTTTTGTCAAAAAAATATATAGCAGTCACGAATGTATAATACTTCAAATGAAATACCAAGGCGTCAGCAACAGGTTAGTTGTTTTAGAAATTTATTAATTAGGTTTATATGCATAAATAGTTCGAAATAATATAATATGTATTTAATATATTATATTTTTACCCTTGCAGGGTATTATAATTTCAGTCAGAAGTTTGCAACGCAGTGAAGGAGACGTTTCCGACCCTATAAAGTATATATATTCTTGATCAGCATCAACAGGGGAATCTTTCTAGATATGTCAGGAAGAAATCAATTTTTTGGCCATTTTTTGCAAAATTTTATAAGGGGTTACATCATTAAAATTTTTGATTTTGATAAAAAATTGAATTTTCAAAATTTTTAAATGAAGTATGCAGATTTATTAACTGCAGAAAATCTTGCACAGAACAGTTTTCCGATTTAAAATTAATATTCTTTTGGCCGAGTTATGATATTTTTAATTAAAAAAAATCAAGAAGTTTTTTAATATAAAAAATCCGATTTTATAATACAAAATAATATTTTTCTAAGTCAAGGAATCATTTCCGACCCCATAAACCATATATATTCTTAATCAGCATCAACAGGGGGATCTTTCTAGATATGTCCGGAAGAAATCGATTTTTTGGCCATTTTTGCGAAATTTGATAAGGGGTTACATCATTAAAATTAGCAAAAATGGCCACAAATTTTGATTTCTTAAAATTTAAAATTTGGTATGCAGTTTTTTTAAATTAATAAAAACTAACACAAAACTGCTTTCCGAATCGAAATTAATGCATTTTTGGCTTAGTTATGATATATTTTAATTGTTACCTGCAAGGGTATACAAACTTTGGCTGGCTAAAGTTGGCTTTCTTTCTTGTTTTATATTATTTTATATATTATGTACATTTATTTAATTTATATAATATTTTTAAATTTTAAAACTAGTGTGAGACCCCGCAAATGTCACGCCAAGCAGTTCAGGTAATTACATTTTGAGGCTACTAAACTCTATTTATTTATATAAAATATAATTTTCCGTATTTTTTAATAAGTGTGATTTCCAACCAATGGAAACCAGGAGGAAATCCCAGGTAAGTTAATTAATTTATAAAAAATATGTTATCCCTAAGGAATATTTCTCAATTTAAAAGCTTTATGAATCTTCAATAAATGAGACGAGCTACTTTGACCTGCCGGAGGGTTTAAGCCAGCCAAATACTAATAAAAGTCAGTGTCGAAATGTAAGTACATGTATCAAGTATAATTTTAAATAATTATTAATAAATTAATTCATTATTATTACTAGTCTCAGGCCATGTACCAGGACCCCACACCTATGAATCTCAGAAAACAGTGCCAAATGAGCCAAAGATCACGCTCTTTATCTCCTTTAAATTGTTCAAAGTGCAAAGGTCAAGGCTGTGGAAATAATAGACACTTGAATATGGACGACACTGGAGGGTATCCTGAAGATTCCGATTCCAGCAGAAGTCCTACTTATATGAACATATCCCGGGCAATGTTGGCCAGATCTAGCTTAAATGTAAGATCTTTCTAATTATTTATATTATTTTTAATAAATTAATTATCTTTTTTTTTAGGAAACCAGTTCAGAAAAACCCAATAGTTGTTGGGCAGAACGTTCTTCAAGAAGACAAACCAAATCTCGTAAGTTTTATTTCAAATCAAATTAAATAAGTGATTTTCTAGCATTAAAAACCATCAAAACAGCTGAGGATTATCTTGCTGAACGCACACAAGCTGAGTTTATGGATGCTTTGGTCAAGGATCGCTCATGTCCTGGTGTTATACAGTCCACCCTCAATGGCAATGAGGATTTCAATCAGTTTGCCTTCGACATTGCCTTTGCGGGACCCGTTCCCTCCAAACCCTTTCCCGTGGATCCCATTACCATGCTGGAGGCCATCAAGTTGAGGATTGACTATGAACGGGAGGAGATTCGAAGAAATCATAGACCAATGACAACGGAGGACATAGAGTCACATTTTTTGAATAAAATCAAGAGCGAGGTCAACGAGGGAGTGGCTGCCTTCCTGAAAGCCGAAAGCCAATATCAAGCCAATGGGCAACCGGTGAGTTTAAGATTAATCTTTAATTATTTAAAGGATTTTTTAATATTTTGTTGTACCCTTGACAGGACACCTTTGAGGCCCAAATAAATGGCTTGAATACAAACATGTTTGACGACAGCATTAAGCTGAATGTCTATTCAGCCACCACGCAGCCCGGTCCGGAGGTATTAGATCTGAGCTACCGCTAAGTTACATAGATTATTTAAAAAAAAAACTAAACAGGGAACAAGGAAATAAATTGATTTAAACTCTAAAAACCTAGAAATTCATTTAAGCTCTATATAAAACTCTAGAAATTCATTTGTAGTCTCCTAAAAAAGGGCCAGCATTATTCATTCATTTCTGTATAATCAGCAAACCATTCATAAGAACTGGGCAATAATAATCCCCTATAATAAAACTTGAAAAAAGCACCCAAGCAATCTAGGGTTCTTTGCAGGGAAGTGACTTCCATAAAACCCGCAAGGTATGGTACTCACTTCCAGTTAGTTCAAACCACTTCACCTTATGCGATCAACCCATACCCCTGACCGATAATCGCAGAGACTAATCAATGAATGACTCGGAAATATGCAATCTATATGCGTTTAATCTTTATGGGATCATCGAGCCAGACCTCTTCTCCCTTCGAGTTACGTCAGACGCAACCGAAATAATTTAATTTACCGTCTATTTACGGCATGCAAAAAGTCATTAATGTCGTAATTTTCTAAGCAAATCTACAGGCAATTATTGCCTTAAGTAAATAATGTCTGTTGGCTGTAAATATTTGCCTAAACATCTTGTTTTAGGGGTGAATAGAAATAGAATTCTTATAGATATAAATAAACAAAGTGAATTAAATTCAAGTTCAGGGTTAGTTTAGAGAGGGAGAAGATATTATAATGAACTAAATTTATAGAAAAATAAAATACAAATCTTAATAAATAAAAAGTTTAGTACTATTAATTTCTAAGCAATCTGTAGGACAACAACAGAGACAAATCTGCGGGTTCTCTCAGCATATTAATCAGAGATAATAAATATATAAATAATTTATGTCACGCTCCCACCCGTAAATAGTTTTTTAAGAGACCACCAAAGCCCAATTTAAGAGAAAAAAAGTTGAAAAGTATAGTTATAAATAAAAAATCAGCTGGTAAATTCTCTCTTTAAGAAATATCACAACAAAAAGAGTTCAACATATATATAAATAAATATGAAATGGCCTATTAATTTGAATGCGCAGTGATTTCAAAGTTCGAAGTTATTGTTGTTGTTGTTGCTGGGGTATAATAAATATATGCATAAACATTTTTTTGTCGAGTTTGCATAAACGAATTAATTATGCGACTTAAACTCTCACTTTTCCGCTTCTCATTTTCTGTTTATATTGAATATCATTTAATGCGGTGAATCAATTTGTTTTTAAGCTGCACTTAATCAGCATGGCTTAATTGTCTTTATTTTTTTATCCAGTTGATTGCACAAGAAATTGATTAAAACATAAATAAATCACCATAAACATGTTATTAATTGTTTAATTTATTATTTAATAAATTGAATAAAATTTTACCTCGCACGAAAAGTAGTTTCGGTTTTCTGATTTCAATTTTCGTTTACTTCTTCGCCGCGATCTTTACGGGCAACGAGCGTCCCAAAGACTGATCCCAGCGATCCCGAACTCGAACCCGAGAACCCTCCCTCAATGATCATGATATATATATGAACATATATATAAGGCAGACGTCGCTGTCGGCGCCGACTTCGCTGGACTTCAATAAATTGTGCCTTCGGTAAACAGCTCTGCATGTTTCTTTCCTTCTGCATTTTTTATCGGTGCGAAAAAAAAGAAGAAAATATATAACAAAAGCAAAGCAAAAGCCTCAAACTTTAGATAATACTCCTCATTCAGTCACTTGACGCCGCCGCTTTTCGCTCTTTCAAATGCAACGAGCGGCCGGCAAGATAATGATCCAGCGAGAGGCACTTTTAATGTTTTCCACATGGTGACTTGGTGGGAGAACTTGAAAGAGAATTCTAAATATATAATTACAGAGATAGAAATAACCACAAATTATTAAGACATTATTTTAAAACTTAAAAAAACAATTTGAGACTTATTTTTCTTATAAATCAAAAAACCAAAAACCTTTAAAATGAATAAAAAAACGGACTTAAGAATTTGGTCTTTAATTATTTTTTTTTCTATTTAATTTTTTGCCAAAATCTCTGCCAAAAATATCAATTACTCAATCACAAATCGTTATGTACTTATTTGTTCACCTTATTTCTTTTTTGTGTTTTATAAACAAAACGCATTCGATTGAGGTATGAGCGAAAAAATACAAAAAGTTTGGACCACCCATAAGGCTAGAAAAAATAATTAAACATAGAGCAGCGCCTGGGGGAAGCACCTAAAAATGTAGACGTAAATATCGAAAACGAAATAAAATTTTAGTGATATTTTGTCATGGGAAAAAGTGTGCAAATTAATAGAAGAAATTCTCGAAAAGCAAAGCAAATAAACATCAATGGAGAGCATTCCAAAATTAGGAAAAAATCTTAAGTTTTTGCTTAGATGAGATATATTTCAAAAATATTTTTGATCTGTTCAATTTTCCCTTTGCCATATTGCTGCCTTTGTAAATTGCACTTTTACTCATTGTTTTGTAAATAACCAAAGTTATGCCTTCTGCATTGTTTTGAAAAATTAATGGCTTTGCCATAAATCTGTTGCAGAATCTTTATTTTTAGCTGCACTATTTTTGGGCAGGTGTTAAAATATGTACAAGGCAGGCAAATAAAACTCCGAAAGGATTACAAAAGTAAGGTACACATGGAAGGACGATGAAGATTCAGGCAAGCAGCAACCGAAGAATGAGAGTCATAAATAAATTCATAACTGCATCCCATGCAAATTCAGATCCCAAGCAATGTCTGGGCTAATGTATGGATGCCTTTATGGTTATGGCGGGTTATGTATGTGCCATAGAGACGATCGGGATTATGCGGACTTAAATGAATTTATGGCTTGTGCTAATCTCAAGGGCTTACCCAACCCGTTGTAAGTAAGTGTAGGTTCTCTTTCAGCGAAAATGCTTATCACTAATTATTTTTGCTGAGAAAAATGATAAAAACAACAGCAAGCTATTCATCATGCGATGAAGGCACTTGAATCAACAAGTTTATTTTGAAAAGTGGCTGTTTACAAACACTATATGAGTTATAGGAGTATTTTTAGAAACTGATGATGGAGTCGCCGGTGAAAAATGCATTCTGGAAATGACTAGAAAATAACATTAATTTAATATTTTATACCATATAATTTACATGGCATTTTTAAGTGTTGCTTTGATTCCTGATTGACTCATATACTATAGTTATAAATCAATTTTGCCAGCTAACAGTATACGTCTAAAATTCGTTTGAAATTAAAAGCTATTAAATTTGTGGGAAAGTCTTTCATTTTTACAAAATACCTTACAAAAATTTGGATAAATAAATTTTGAATTGCTACTGGAAATTCTGAGAAATATAATATCTAAATAGTAAATATAATATCTAAACCAAAAATGCTTCTGACTGAAGTAATAATACCCTCAAAAGGGATATTAATACTTCAATATTTATCCATAATTTTATTTGATTATTTTTATGAAAAATTATATCTTAAAAATATCATAACTAAGTCAAAAAAGCATTATTTTTAATTTGGAAAGCTTTTCTATGTTAGTTTTTTCTAGGTTAAAAAATCTGCAAACTAAACTTTACATTTAAAAAAATTAAAATTTTGGCCAGTTTTTGAGAATTTTAATGATGTAACCCCTTATCAAAGTTTGAAAAAATTGTCAAATTTTTTTAAATATTTTTTTCATTCAAACATAGCTAGATCGACTCGGCTGTTAATGCTGATCAAGAATATATATGATTTATAGGATCGGAAATGACGTTTTCACTGCGTTACAAATATATGAAATTACAAAGGTATCAAAATATTTTTATAAATTTTAAGTAATATAAGATCGTAAAATAAAATTTATAAATATTTCAGATTAAAAAGTACAATTTTTGTGAAAAAAAATAATAATTACATTAATTTTGCAAGAACTAACAATTACTTTGTTTTATTTTCATATTTAAAATATTGTATTTATCTCTTTATTTTACTTTTTTCTCTACACATTACTAAATTCCCACCCAAATGAAACACAAATTAAACTCTATTTGAAAGCTATTGAAAAACCCGGCAACTGTATTTCGGAAAAGCTGCTATGTTTGATCTAACCAGCCAGGCAAATATTTACGCAACCAATTTGAGGCATTCAGGGCTGGCAGGCCCCAATGTACGCTTAGTCGCATAAACAAAAGCCCCACCGAAATACAAAATACAAAATTGTTTAGCAGTATAATTAGTGCACTCGATGGGTGGTGGAACAAGGCAGGGAGGATCGATGGGGTAAACCGATGGCAACTTAACCAGCACAGTTGCATTGATGATTGGGTGAAATTTCAGTTTGCTGGATTTTGTGTATTGTGAATTGTGAGTAGGGGAAGAGGCGGTACGAACGGGGGCCTAATGCAGTTATACCCAGAGTGCTCCTTACCCCTAACCCCGAGTTCGAGTCCAAATAATCCAACAATAGGCCATTGGGGGGCCCGTGGAAGTTGATTATGCGTTGTTTTGGCACTTAATATGATGAAATATGCAGAGTGCCATTAGTCCCCAAACTGGGGAGAGAAAATTGGGAGGAATATCGGGAGGAAATTCGGAATTACAACTACACACACAAACAGACACACTCAGTGCCTGCAGTAAATTATGCAACAAGAGTCCCTCAACCCAATGTAAGCATTTCATTTCCAAAGTAAAAATGTTCAACTGAAAATTGCATTTTCTTGTTTTTTTAAAAGGATTTTCCAGCTGCATACTTTTGAGAGCAGCTGGAAAATCTTTTCCGAAGGAAATGGAATTTATTTTTGGCAAGCACAGAAAATATGCTCAATTTCATTTTCGGATTTATACGAATTTTTTGGAAATAAAAACCCATAAATGTTTACAAAACATAAGTGAGTTTGCAAAATCAATTTGGTAAAATATTAAACAATTCTAAATGGAATTATTTAAGCCCTGTCAACCATTTTCGCACATAATCAAGTGCCTGCAACCAATTTACAAGTGCAGCCAAGGACGGGTCACACAATTGTCTCTTCTCTCTCTTTCGCCGCTCGCCTTTCTGTCTCTTTCATTGGATGGTAAAGGCAATTAGCATGCAAAACAAGTCGAAGCTATGAATGTACATCTTGCTCATACCCAAAACCCCCTGTCTACTTGGCATTTATGTGAAAATGCATGGCATAAATATAACCCCAAAAACAAGTAGTACTTATATGGCATTACAGTGCGTTTCACAACAGGAAGTCGAAGAGAGTTAATTGAATATTAATTCACTTATAAATGTATTTATAATTGAAGTAGAAAGCTGGTTAATTTCCAATTTCTAGAAAATGTATACATAATATTTATACATATTTCTTAATACAATTTCTTAAGCCTTACAATAATAACCTGCAACTTCCATGTATATATATGCTTGCATATTTCTGCGGTACTTCTCATTTAGAAACAATAGCAACAGCAACACAAACAACATTAAGAGAAGCGGTAACAAAACCAACACGAAAGGCAGCAGCAAATAGTGGCAGCTGCAATATACTCGCGGCAACCACCGCCACCGCCACAGTCACCGCCAAAATATATGCAACATTATGCGGCATGTGCACTAAACAAGTCATGAATTTCAAACAGACGCCGGGGATGCCGTTCCCGATGCCGCTCCCGATGCAAACACGCGCTCCTTAGTGCATTCTTTGCATGCGTAATAAATGCGAATAGAGGGGAACGGAGTGGAGCCACAAATGGCGGTTGCGTTGAGTTTTCCTTCATTTTCCCAGGCGCTGTGACTTGTGGCATCGCGAAAATCGCTCGCCGCCGCCTGGTTGGCACTTCCGCTTTTCATTTGCATCATGTTTAATGCATACGTAGATGTGTGTGTCCTGCGAGCTGCAGCTGGCAGCGGTGCAAATGCATCACCGCAAAATGCCCCAATAAGTATGCTAAGTACGGCTCCAATATCCTTACGGACTGCCGCTTTGCTCTGGCTCTAGAACCGCAAATCGGAAGCCCATAAATTTCAGATTGATTTCTCTTACAAGGAAATGGATTCAACTTGAAGTAAGTTGTTGGGTTTAATTTTTAGGGGTTTAAATTTTTTAATTCAGAAAATATGTAGTAATGTTTCCATTACCCCAAAATGACTGCAGAAAACGACATTTCCCAGCAAGTGGTTGAGTGGCGGTGAAAAAAAGAAATAAAATATATATAAACATACATATACATATATATATATACACATATATCTATAAACTGAGCAACTTCTAATTGCTTGCTGGTTGCACCTTGCCTTTTCCACCTTTTCTCATTTTTGCCACATCTAAAACGGAAATAGGATGCTTGCAAGTGTTGGTAGATGCAACGAGCCGGAAGTACGTCACCCACACACACACACAAATACTTGAAAGTGAACTGATGCGGGTATCCAGACAGCGTGTATTTAGTTTAGTTTAACAGCTCCGCGTGCACGACGACATGCGACACTGACACTACAAGTGTTAATGCCAGCCA